ACAGGTTCTGAGGGTTCGTAACAAAACTCTGGCAATGTGTAGCTGGGCAGGTTCTGCCAGCACAAGCATTGATGAGACAGCTTTACTTCTTAAATCTTTTTGTTCCACCTCTTACTGGTTTCTCTCTGTAGCCAGATGTAATATCAGAGAAGCATGACTTTAGCTCAGTAATGTTCATTGTGCAAATCCAATTGGCTGGGATTACTGGAAAGAATTTACTTCTCAGAAGCACAAAATATTCTGCTCCACAATGAAAAGACAAGCTGGGCACATTTATACTACTGAAATGTAAATGTTTCAAGATTTCATCATAGCAATATATCTTTTATTCTGGGAACAGATCACAGCAGACTGGCGTATCTTCTCATTTTAAAGCTCTGGGGTCTTTAGAAGTTCTTCAGGCTTGAGTCACCATTTCAATTTTGTCTCTCCAGTTAGGGTGTTAAAAACGAACAGGTATCTAAAGAGCCACATGAGAGAATCTTTCCTTTGCATGACACTCCTGTTTCCTGAGATAGCAATACTAACAACTGTTCTTTTAAATAACTGGACATTCATCTCATATTTTCCCTTAAAGAAGGTGGGTTTGGTAGCAGGTCAGGAACGCATAGGAGGTATATGCCACAGATGGTTAGAGCTGTTGTATGAGATACTTAATAAAGCCAAGGTTAAAAATCATCATAATTTGTATGTAATATGTTTTCTCTTTTTTACTTAAATGAGGTTATTCAACTATTTATGTTTCCCTTAAAACATTATTTGAGTACTTCTAACAGTAAGACACATACATTATACATAAGTGTCTTAGGAAGTACTCCTTCTGCATTGCTGAGATTAATCCAGTTAAGAAGGTCCTGCAGAGAAGGACTCGGGGGTACTAGTGCGTGAAAAGCTCAACAAGAGCCAGCAATGTGCACTTGCAGCCCAGGAAACCAACCATATCCTGGGCTTCATCAAAAGAAGCATGGCCAGCAGGTCGAGGGAGGTGATTCTCCCCCTCTGCTCTGCTCTTGTGAGACTCCACCTGGAGCACTGCCTTCAGCTCTGGGGTCCACAGCATAAGAAAGATATGGACACTGAGGAGAAGAAGGGAAACATCAAATCTACTTTTATAATTTTTTTTAATTTTCTGAAATACATGTTGGTAGAGTCTCTACTGATTAATGAAGATGATTTTCTGCTTTGGCTTAAGTTTTGCAGTCTACCTTGTGGATACATAAGCTCTGTATGGAGCTCGTTTCAGATATGCAGTTGATTTACTGATTTAGCTCGGTTTGAATTGCGAGAGCTTAATTCAGGAGTGGAGGATGATGATTATACAAGTGATCTTTTGACATCATATTTGGGAAGAGGTTCTGAGAGGCACAAGTGAAATGAGGGGAATGGTCAGACAATACAAACTAAATTACCTTTCAACAAACTGCAGGTGTGATCTGAAAGAAGTTGTTTCAGTCCGCTCAGGGCCTTCCTGGTATTCTTTTGAAATGATATCATATGCTCTAGTCAATGAAATGGCATCACCAGATTCAAAAATATTTAACATTATGCATACAGAAGTCTTCTTTGGCCAGAAGTAATTTTTCAGTATTACATGCAGCTTTCATTCCATAGTCTGTCTTGAAAGCTTCTTGTGAGGGATTCACAACACTGATGGCAGATTAGTTTAAGATTTGGCTTATTTTATTGGCTTTTATTAGCTTGCTTAACAAATTATATTTGAACAGTAAGTATTAACTTCATCGATTAAGTAGTCCATATAACCTCTTGACTGATGGCTCTTCTGTTAATGATAGATTACCTGTTTCAAACTGACTTTATCTATGTCAGCTATGAAGGAATATGTTTTACTAAGGAGTTCTTCTAGGAACCATTATGTATGTGAGTCTTGAATTTATACAGTTTCAAGTACAGGAGGGAAGATGGAGTTTTACAAAGCTTATCATGGATATAGAATAACTAGGGCTGACCACTGTTCATAGCAAGTGATGCTAGCCACTTCCAATTAATGATAATGCTGTGAAAGTTGGTAATTCAATTTATCACTTCAAATGCTTTTCTCATTATGATTTAGCAGCCACAGAATGGTTCTGTATAAAGAAAAGGAGGCATTTCAAAGAAAGATACTATGAAGACTGGCTTTAAAGGTTTTCCAAACTTTTAAAACCTGTCTCCAATCTCAATGACATCAGCATATGCCAGTGGTATAGTATCACCTACAAGCACTCATGCAGTTTTTGAATGGCTTGAAATACATGCCCTTTGCACCAGGCAGCTAAGGCTCTGCATGGTTCATACTGCCACCATATGAGATCAAATACTGCATCACTGCAGCCTTTCTGCACTTCACAAATGTGACCCCTGCTGTGTGAGGAATGCTAAGTTTCCTATTCCTTTAAAGGAAAAGAGGCCCTACCTAACTGAGTTTGTCTGTCCAAGTTTCCATGGTTTCTCACATAAGGAAAAGGTCATCATTGGCAGGATAAAGTATAGCCAATCTGAAATGAATCCACCTCGTAGTATCCCAAAAAATTCCTTCTGTACTCCTACCAAGTCTTTGTCTTCAGCTTTTTTTTTTTATTATTGAGGCTCTGTGGATTTTTAGCTGTTTATGCCAGGTGCCTGCATAATTCACAGGGCCACAAATGAAGAAAACTTGCATGAGTGTAATAAATTCTTTTATCTGCTCTGCATGAATTGATCTATGTTCTATCTTTAAACAAGCAGTGATGAAGGATTTTTTTATTATCATTATTTGTTTATGCATGGAGCAGACTTTACATTGCTGTGTGAAAAACTGTTTTCATGGTATTGCCAAATGTAGGGTGCTCGTTTTATTTTTGTCTGAACTCTCTCCCCAGTATTAGAATGTATTCCTGTTAAATAGGGTTTGGTTTATACTTCTCTGACACCTCACATTAAAAAAAATAAATAACAAATAAATGTCCCTCTCCACTCACTGAGTTGTCCAGTTTACTATAGACCTGGGAAAAGTCCCTTAATTTCTGTATTCTCTATCTACAAAGTAGGAATAATCACAATGCGTTGCATTTAACTGGTAAAGCACTCTGAATTTCTCAGGAGGAATGGGTTGTAAGAATCTAAGCATTCCTTCCTTCTTCCATGAATAATAAATCAGCAACTGCCATCAAGCTCTGGGTTACTATATATACTTTTCAGGAATCCTTCCAGAATCTCTCCATTTCCCCTCTATTGTGCGTCAAGAAATGTGCATCTCATCTAGATTAGGCATTTGGGAAGCATCTCTTTCCATAGGCTGTTAACACCATTTCTGCAAAAAAGCGATATGGGTATTGTTTTTTTTTCTCTAAGGGAAATGACTATGATATTTCTACCAAAATCTCTTTCAGAGCTCAGATTTTCTGTAGCTAGCTCTGGGTGACTCTTCTTTGTTGGAATGGCTAGTAGATTTTAGGGTGCGTACAGTCTGTGGGATTTTTTAAGTCAGTCCTTAATGTGCCATTGATTTTCTGCCATGACTCTGAAGTTACTGGGATTCTTTCCAGAAGCCTTCTATGGTTGGCTTGTTGAGATAGTGACCAGTAGTATTACTCAGAATACAAAAGATGTAAAGGAAAACTCATCTTAACCATGATGTATTTTCTTAAGTATTGTATGTTAAGGAGATATCAGATTTATTAGTGTTGGAGATGGGGGGTTATAAATACAAATATTTTGTTTGCTTTGTCTCTCTCTTATGTGATCCAGAAAAATCTAAAATTTAACATATTTTTTTTCCCGTGTTTTGTTCCCATGTACATGAAATACTAATTTGGCTTATAATATTCTGAATTCCATTCTGGCATTGATAATTCAGAGAAGCATTTGTAGTGGCTATAGTTACTTACCCAGGTTTTACTGGATAAGTGAAAATTTCTAAGCTGGGCAAGAAACTATGAAAGCTCAAAGCTAATGGTGGTGTTTGCATTAGACAAGACACAGTTCAGTGAGATGCAGTGTGCACCTTCATTGTCTGAATGTTAGCAAGCAAAATTGACACCATATGTGCCCAACTGTAATTGCTCCAAGAAGGGAAAAGAGAAACATGTCAGAACATTTGAGTAACACCTAATTCAGCCCATGGTTATAAATAAAGCTGATGGTTGCTTAAAAACAAAAGTAGGAAAATATTATGGTTATATTATTCCTCAACAGCGCTTCCTACATAGGTGAACTTTATTACAGAGACAACACAAGTGAAAAGAAACATATAACAACTTTTTATGGTATTTTTATGTTATTTTATTTTTTTCGCAGTAAATAAAGTGGTTATGAGGCTCCAAGGAAAACGGCCCAGATGTTACTGTGTTGTACGAAATTTAGTGGAAACAAGCTGTAAAAAACATAGTCATAAAACAGCCTGTCAATGCCACACATCTGGACAATGCAGCTGTATGTTCCCGCTGCTGTCATCACCCTAAGAAAACTCAATAGCCTTATTTCACCCCAATTAGGCTGCATACCAACAGAATCAGCATTACACAGGGAGGGGTGTATTTTCACCAAGACAGACCCTCTCAAATTCCCTTCAAGAAGTTTGTATCTTTCATTCAAGGCTGGTGCCTCAGACACTAGTCACTTTGTAAAGTAGTACGCCAAAGTATTCCTACCAATTTTGTACCTGCTAAATGTTTTTTTTTTATTAGCTTATAATAAGTAGTTGCTTAATTTTGCCTGTTTAAAACCAATATATATATATATAAATAAAATATATAAGTATATATATGCAGTTTACAGTAAAAACTGTGCATCTGTTCACACTTGCATAGTTTTCTCTCTTCTAGTTTTATCTCATACTTACAGCATTGGGACCAAAGAATAGCTATGCATCTTACTGATTTGTTGTTTTTCAGAACATGTGACCATTCTGAGCCACATACTGTTAATGTGAAATAACACCCCATCTTTTCTGCATGCAAACTATGTCAAATGCAGTATTAAAACCATACAAGTAATAGCTGTTTTTGTTTTCTTCTCTGTAGGTAGTAGAAGCAGCCAAAGCCATTCTTGACAGCGGAGAAGAGATTCCTGTAACACTAACTGGAAAGCTATTGAAATTTCAACTGCTTTGTCTTAAACAGAAAGACCTTCAGAGAAGGGAAGCTGAAAAGAAGGTAGTACAGTATGCCATAGAGAGGATGCTTAATTAACTTTATGAAGCCACTTCTATTCAAGAGCTATTTGCATAAATTCAGCTTTCTACTTATGCTTCATTCCCTGCATCCGTAATTGAAGATAAATGTAAATAGAAATTTATATTTTAAGTTAATTAGATTTTTGGGAAGAAGCTCCCAATTACTCAAATGCAGGTGAGACAGGGAAAAAAAATAGAAAAGAAAAAGTATTGCCTGTGAACTCTTCACTTCAGTAAAAAGTAGTAATGTCTTAGCTGAAGCATAGAACCACTAGAAAATAGTGGTAGAAACTTGCTTCAGCTCAATATATCTCTGCTGAAGTTAAGGTAGGAGAAGTTATATTACTTGAGAGTTATCAGGGGTACGTGCAGAGTAGCATTGTGAAGAAATTACTATCATGAATCACTTCTCTGGAAGAAATTTGGAGAAGTTATCTGTTCCATCCTCTGGTATTAAGGTGGGATAAAATATACATAAACTATTCTTGGTAAATGTTTGTTGAACCTGTTCTTAAAAACCTTGCACTGCTGTGCTTTCACCTTTCTACAGCAATCGGTATTACTGTTCAAATATCTTTGCAACATAGATATTTGTGAAAGGTTTCTAATTTCATCAACCCTGTTCAAATTTAAATCCATTGATGTTTAATTTCTCACTGTGTATGTGGACAATGGCTCAAGATCCAAGTGGAGAGCAGGGATAAGAAGTGTCCTTCAGGAGTCAGTATTGTTACCAGTATTATTCAATATCTTTGTTGGTGATATGGACAGTGGAATTCAGAGCACACTCAGCAAGTTGCGGATAACACCAAGCTTAGTGGTGCATTCCACCAGCTGGAGGGAAGGGTTGCCATCCGGAGGGACCTTGACAGGCTTGATAGGTGGGCTCCTGCAAACCTCATGAAGTTCAGCAAGGCCAAGTGCAACGTGCAGACCTGATGAGTGGATTGAGAGAAACCCTGCAGAGAAGGACTTGGGGGTACTGGTGGGTGAAAAGCTCAACCAGAGCCAGCAATGTGTGTTTGCAGTCCAGAAAGCCAACCATATCCTGGGCTGCATCAAGAGAAGTGTTGCCAGCAGGTCGAGGGAGGTGATTCTCCCTCTCTGCTCTTGTGAGACTCCACCTGGAGTACTGCCTCCAGCTCTGGGGCCCACAGCATAAGGACATGGACCTATTATAGCAAGCCCAGAGGAGGGCCACAAGGATGATCAAAAAAACCCTCACTTCCACATATTCTCCAAAATCATTACTTCTTGCTCCAAGACTGCCTTAGTCAGATTACTTCCGTGTTCTAGGAGGAATTTCAGCAAGATTGCACAGAATCACAATCATATTTGACTTGTTAGTGTTAGGTCAGAGGTTGGACTAGGTGATCTTGGAGGTCTCTTCCAACCTGTGATTCTGTGATATCAGAACCCTAATTGCTTTCTAATTGCTGTAATTATAAAAAGTAAACAAGTCAGTGCTACATTTCAAAAACTTACTGAACAATTATTTTTTGTTAGAGTCCTTTTCCACTAAATAATCATTAAACTGAAGACCTTTATTAACAGAAAGTCAAATACTTGCTGCAAAAAGTTACTCTGTTGATCAAAAATTACAGGTATTACAAGACAAAATATAAAACCTGTAAAATGGGATGATACGGAGATCTAAGTAGTCTGTTCTTGTAAAAAGTTAAAGAAAAAAAATGGTTTTAAGGATTATGTGCAATTGAAAAGTCTGTAAATGCTTTTTTATGAACAATTATATTTGTGGGAATAAGCAGAGTAAGTATACCACACACTCAAGAATATTAAATGCTAGTTGATGATTTAGTGTACTGGTTTCATTGAAGTCAATTGCAAAACTTTTACAAATGATAATCACAGAATGGTTGAGGTTGGAAGGGACCTCCAGAGATTATCTGGCTCAACCCCCCAGCTCAAGCAGGGTCACCTAGAGCACGTTACACAGGATCACATCCAGGAAGGTTTTAAGAATCTCCAAAGGAGACTCCACAACCTCTCTGGGTAGCCTGTTCCAGTGCTCTATCACCAGATCCATAAAGAAGTTCTTCCTCATATGGCAATGAAACCTCCTGTGGTTTAATTTATACCCATTACCCCTTGTCCTATCACTGGTCACAACTGAGAAGAATTTGGCCCCACCCTCTTTACATTGTCCACTCAGGTATTTGTAAAGGTTGATAAGATCCCCCCCCTCAGTCTCCTCTTTTCTAGGCTAAACAAGCCCAGCTTGCTTAGTCTTTCCTCATAAAACAGATGATGTAAGCCAAAAAAATGTGTAAAGAATCTGAGAAAAAAAAAATTTAAAAAAGTTCAACATGAAGAAGAATTCAAAGGGTAAAGCTGAAGTGCAAATTGTTCATAACAATGGATGATAAATGACTTTTCTCTTAGATATTAATCAGTGCTGGAAAGTAAACTGTAAAACAAAAAATTGAAGTTTAAATATTAGTCCCTTGAATATTAAAATGGAGCCTTAGGCTTTGTTTTGGCAAGGTTACTCTTGTATATATGAACTTATTTCTCTGGAGAATCTGAGGATAGTTGAATTTGAAGGTAGAAGAATCTCTGGACTTTACAGTTTCTTCTTGGTTTTAGCTAAGCAATCTGGACAGTTGTCTGCTCCACTGGATTTTAGCTATCAAAGTGTGACAGACAAATATGAGAGAAGCAGCTGAAGGACAAACTTGTCAGTTTTGGAGGCCTCAGTCAGCTGGGAGGCCTCTTCACTATAAAGATACTCTGCAGTACAGAATGGGAAAAAATTGGTGTTTAATTTAGAATTTTAGCTCTAAATTGCCTGCCATAAAATTTCAGTCTTTTCCAACTAGCTCGTGCAGTACAAGTTCCACTGACAGCTCAGGTGTTGAAACCAGGACATCACTGGCAGATTAATTATCAGAAAATTAACATAACTGTCCATTTTTCTTTGGAGTAAACACCAATAAATGGAATGACAGAAGAAAAGCAGAAAGTGAATAGGCAGAAATAAACCATCATTCCATTATGAAATTTCTGTTTTTCAATAGGAGCAGAAGCTTGTCATTAACTGCCAAGTGTATCCATTTGAATTATTCAAAGACACTTCTGCGTAATTAGAAAAGCGTGTGAGGTAATAAGATTTATGTAATTATGTAATACAAAGTTTAAAATGACAGATGGAAGACAAAACTCCACAGAAATCTGCACCTAGTAGGGAACAAGAAATGTGACATCAAAAAGGAAAGAGTCCTCAAAAGGAGAGGCTTTTAGTTCCTGAAATTCTAAGGACAAGTAGTGCTCTTTCTTGGAATCTTAACAAATTCAGATACGTCTCTTCTGATTGGAGGCTTAATTACATTAAATGATTCAGGTGCAATTAACAAAACTGATTGTAAACACTGTGGCCTGATGATTGCATCATCTGTTTTGATGTGTTCATCAACTTAGAATTCAAATTGATACTATCAAAATCTTTTGCTTAAAATGTCCAAAGTTGAATAAATCTGAAACCAAATCATTAATACTGTTCAAAGTCCCCAGTACCACAGCACAAACAGTTTTAAGAATCTATTGAAGGTATTTCTAAATGGTACAGAAAGTGAATGCATGAAGAAGGGAAGGAAGGAAATGATTTTCAGCTTTGGTTTTGAATTTGAGCTAAACACAATTTCTACAGCTGGAAAGTCTGCTTTTCCAGCTGGGTATAAGGAAAACAACTGTGTAGAGTCATCTGACCTATCTCATTTGCATGGAGAACTTTATTATTATTATTATTATTTTATTATTCTTATTTACTTATTTAATAGCCTTTAAAGTGACACCTGCAGTAAGTTAATATCTTTTCAATGTATTTACTTTAGCTTTACAAAAAAAAAAAAAAAAACACAAAAAAAAACCACCATTCTCATGTGGTTAGTGCATAGTCATGCTGCTGGGAAAACATAAAGATTCTTGTTCTTACAGCATTTCTCTTTGCCTTAATATATTTTGAATTATTTTAATTTTAGACTTGTGAGCTTCTTGGATTTATAATGTGAGGCTTTGGGACACTATCACCATCTTTTTTCATTCTTTACTCTTAAATTACCAAGTAGAACTTAACATAGGGGGTTTGCTTGGAAATAATGAGAATGGCTGAGTAATATCCTGTGTGAAATGAGCACAAGGCTCTTGGTTGTAGTTTATAGTAGACAGATATTTACATCAAAGACAAAATAGTGCTGGTACTGTTTTATGCCATACTCAAGAGTGTTAACAGAGATGCTGAAGACTTAACAGAAATTGAATTTTTAGTCTTATTTTCCTTCAGTCTAGGGAAGGTTTCTGGCTGATGCAAGTACTGTAGTGGTAGTTGATGAAGGTCATTGGTTCTTGTCTTTCCACCAGTATTCGTTTAATCAATTCTGTAGGTATAATATATACCTTCCCCTCATAGTTCCTCTTTAATGTCAAGTCTTAACACTATGATTTAGTAAGAATATAATAAACTGAATGGTGTGCTCAAGAAGGAAAAAGCACTGTTTAAGACATCTTTAACACAACTTTATAACTCTGAGAGGGAAAAGTACTCAGAAGTATTCAAGTTACTCATTTATCCACTATAATTTTATAGCAATCTGTCCTTTGTTCTTCACAAAGGCTACAATGAAAATTTAGTTTCTTCATCTTGTCAGGCAGAAGAAGAGCTAAAAAAGGAAAAAGATGGAGGAAAAGAGAAAGGTAAACCTCCTGGCAAGAAGGAGAAACCCCCTAGTGCCAAGACAGCTGAGAAAGAAAGGAAAGGAAGAAAGACAGACGTAGCCTCTGCAGTGCCAGCTACTGTTAAAAAGAACACCCAACTGAAGCGACGAGGAGAAGAGGAAGAGGAGTACAAATACATTGGTACGTAAAGAAAGCATATATGCTCCTGATAAACTTGCAAAAATCATCAAACCTAGCTTCACATTCAGTATGTTTTTTGTTTCATGTTGAAAGATGTATTTGGCAATATGAAAGCATTGCCACCTTGCATTTGAAGAGGGCACTATACTTTACTTAGAAGTAAGATATATTGTACAGTCCGAGAAATAAAATAGAGATGAGATGTGTAGCACATTAACATCAAAAATGTTTTAGCATGTGTAAGACTAAAGTGGCTAAATAAATATTACATATCCTTACACAAAGATTTCAGAATAACTAAGTGCATGTGTCAGTATCCAAAGGCATCTTTCTCCTTGTATTAATAAAGTAAAACTGAGCTGTCCACCATTGTTTAGAGGTGAAGCCAGGTTCTGTATAAAGGGCAATATGAATTCATTTACTGTAAAAACATGTGAGTAGTGCTAAGACCTGAAGAAAGCTAGTCCAGAAGTGAGCTATACAAGGTAAGGAATAATATACTAAACAGTGTTGAGAAAATCTTTATTCTCAATACATAGCACCCATGGTTACAAATGTCACTGGAACAAAAAAAAATGGGAGAATGTGCATACTTCTCCTCATTAGATCATAGTTATATTTAATTTGGACCACAGTGAGCTTTAACTACGTCAGAAAAAACAGGATTTCTCCCACTAGAGAAGCACTTGCTGGTCTTGAATGCGTAGCCGGTATTCCCCAGTTGAACCCCTGCAGGCATTCCTTCCTATTTCATCAGACTTTGTCCATATCTCTTTTGAGATCAATGATACTCCTCAAGCATTTAAAAAGCATTGATCTAGATGTTTAGAACAAATCTGAAGCTGACGAAATTGCACAGGAACAGAACAGTGGCTTTCTGTGCATTAGTTCATTTTCGTGGATAAGGCATGGCAAAAATATCATTTTGATAATTTTAAGATTTTTCACGGACTTAGAAGTGTTTGAAGAAATTTCTATGCCTGTAAGAATCAAAGCTAAAGTAATGTAGAGACCTCATTTTATCTTACTTATGTGAGTGTACTGTACAGAATGGCTTTGAGTAGCTATTAATGTGGTTCTGCTAGGCCCTATAGAAACAATTTTACCAGATCCAACGTGTTTGATTCCAATCTGAGGGGTGTCTGAGGAGTGGGCAGAAAACATCAGGTGCCTGTATAAAATAAGAGATTTTTTTTTTACCCCATATCCATACTTTGCTGCCTTGTTAGTCACAGCTAATGATAAGAAAAAGTAGGAAAAATAATAATTGCCTCCAAAAGCTAACCACCATGAAAAGTGTCTTTGTTTAGTATGCTTAATAGTTTTATGTTACAAACTGCTAGCATTGCCATTAAATTTTATTAACTGAGATCATCTCATTAGTCCCAAGGGTATTTACAAAACAGTGATAGCAATGATTGCAGATTATCTCAAAGGAGAATTTGTCTAGTTACTTTGTGCTTGCAAAGATGATAGAGGAATAAAAAAACAAACACCCCAGAGACTGTAGGAATATCAGAAGCTACCTACTGTTTTTTTCTGAATGCTGCATTTTTGTTAATCGTTTGTAATAGTTTGCATCTGTGACCTTAATTTGCAGTATCACTATATATGCAAGGGAAAAAAAAATTTTTTTGTTTAGCTCTTGAATTCCTTACTCCAGTCTGTTTTAATGTGTTTTGAACAGATGATGAACCAGATGATGGTGCCCACTATTACTTTATAATCTTGGGTTTCCACAACCCTCAGCTACTGCCTGTGATGTCTGAGCTTGGAGTTAATGTTTCAAGTGTAATCAGGATTTCTTCTGAGAATTATGATCCATTACAGACATACTTGGAAGCAGCTAAACTTCAAGAAGAATCTTTACTTTCACCTGAAGGTAATTTGGTCATAAGAACAAAATTTGTGTAGAAAGAATACTGTTTTGTATTCAAGTAGACCGTTCCTGTTGTGCTTTTCTCCTCTGTGACTTGTGTATATGTATACTACCTGTGAGCAGCCTTATTTCCTGGTGCAAAAATGCTGTTGCCATTGGTTTGGTCACCAAACCAAACGGTTTGCTAAAGCAAAAGCTTGCCTTAGCTGGCCAGTGGAAAGGACTGACTAAGCAGGCAGTGTTGCAGCCACAGTTCTGTGCAGCAGCCACCAAGGAACATTTTATCAAATGCACACCTGTATGTGTCATTAGCCAGGAAGGTCTGTTCCTAAGAAAATTTGTACATACGGTAATTTCAAGGGAAGTGCACAGGTTGTGACTGTGTGCCCAGCCAGAAAAGAATGTGTTACAGAATAACACCCTGCAGTCATACAGCCTGAGGACTGCTGAGTAGCACCTCTGTTGAAAAGGATGTGGGTTTCTGGTGGACAGCAAGCTAAATGCGAGTCATCAGTGATAGCTAACCATACTCAGCTGTATTAGCAGAGCCAGTAGGTCAACAGAAGCCATTATCCCTGTTACTTGGCACTCATGAGACCAGAGTTTTAGGCTCTGCAGTACAAGAAAGATACCGATAAATTTGAATGAGTCCAGCTGACAGCCACCCTGTGAGGAGTGGCTAAAGGACCTGGGCTTGCTGAGTGTGGAGAAGAGAAGGCTTATGGAGCACCTAATAGCATCCTTCCAATACTTTTGAGGGGTGTTCCCAAGAACACAGAGCAAGACTTTAATGAGGTATGTGGCCAAAGGAGAATAGGTGGTGTTCATGAATAACCTTCAGAAAGCACAGACCCCAGAGATAGAGGGAAGGTCTGGAGCACAGGAGTTACACCCTTGGTAGAAGAGGATCAGGTCAGGGAATACTTAAGCAAACTTTGAATGACCATGGCAACTGGGAGAGGTGCTTGAGGACTGGAGGAAAGCAAATGTCACTCCTGTCTTCAAAAAGGGTAAGATGGAAGACCCAGAGAACTAGAAGCCCCTCAGCATCAATCTCTGGGAAGATGATGAAACAACTATGATTATTTGCTTATTTATAAGAAAACTTTATAAAGGGAAGAAAAAGTAAATATATCTGGTACTCCTTCATTTAAGTAGTGTTATAGATAGTAATGCAAGTTTTCCTATTACTAAGAAAGGATAGGTTGCATAGCAAGGAAACAGATGGCTAACCCATGCATTTTTTTTTGTGCACTTCATATATAAGGAATCATATAAGAATCAGAAATAGCTCAGGCAACTAGGAATCGGAATGTATATTTATTATGATCCTAATGGCACAAAATCAGAAAGGCCAAGGCACAAAATGGGGTGCAGGAGGAGGACCAAAAAAAATATATGTTTTTTTACTGCTCATCATAGAGGAAGAACTGTCAGAGGTAGTCCTGACAAGTCTGGCAGTAGTTAATGTTTTGAGGGGCTTTTTGTACTTCTTGGCATGGGTGTTGTGGAGGGTTAATCAGTTTTCACTACAGATACCGTTGCAGACAGGTGATGGTTACAACTAACTACAATTAATGCTGGTAACAGAAAGATTCAACTTCAGATTGCAAAGGAATAGGCAAAATAGCTGAGTAGTACTGAGGTAAGATAGAGGAGTTTTCAAATCAGCTGATTCAGCTTAACTTAAATGGCATTCAGTTTAAAGATCTGCCTGCCATTCTCATTTATACTTGAGACTCATAAAGAACAAATGAGATAGTGGAAAAAGATCTGGGAGGAAGAGGGAAAGGAATACAAATAGCCAGGGCACTGAAATCTGCTTAATTTCTGTTTCTGGGAAAATACTGGAACAAAGAATTTACAACTGGTTAAGAGAAATGAATATAGGAGTAACAGCTAGTATATCCCTGTACTCAGCTCCAGTAAGGCCTTACCTTGTGTACTGTGTTCAGTTTTGGGTCCCTCAGTACAAGAAAGACATCAAGGCCCTGGAGCATGTCTCAAGAAGTGCTACAAAACTGGTGAAGGGCCTGAACACAAGTCTTATGAGGAGCAGCTGATGGAACTGGGCTTGTTTATTCTGGAAAAGAGGAGGCTCAGGGCCTTATTGCTCTCTGCAACTACCAAAAAGAAAGATGTGGAGAGTTGGGGGTTGGCCACTTCTCACAGATAACCAGCAACAGAACAAGAGGGAATGTCCTCAAATAGAGCCAGGGGAAGTTCAGGTTGGAAATCAGGAGAAATTTATTCTCAGAAAGAGTGGCTAAGCATTGGAATGGGTTTCCCAGGGAGGTGGTGGAGTCACCATCCCTTGGGATGTTTAAGGAAAGATTAGATGTAGTATTTAGGGACATGGTTTAGTGGGTTGGTAATATTGGTGGTAGGGGGACGGTTGGACTAGATGATCTTGGAGGTCTTTCCTAACCTTAATGATTCTATATGTTGTTCAAGAACAAATCATATCAGATAAGTTTAATTTCCTTACAAAATTAAGTACTGACCTTTTAAGCAGAGGAATAGTGTTGTATATTTGAATTTTACTAATACTATTTCACATGGCCCGCAGTAAGCAAGATAGGTCTAGAGGAAAGTGTATGTATAGCTAGGTGCAATCTCCTTGGAAAACCTTAGCTTTTGTAGAGTAGCTATTAAAGGCTTATAAAATACAAGGATGCATGGAGTGGAGTCAAGAGAATTTGTGCTTGTTCTAGTATTATAAAATATTATCATCAATATTGGAAAAAGGGGGTGTGATTCAAATGCAAAATGTTCTTGACAGAATAGAGAATAACAATTTGGAATAAAGCATATTATGTTTAATGTGGGCAACTATAGTATAGTATATTTATGCAAGAATAATTTGTGTACAAATACAATCTAGGAAGCACCTAACTAAAAGACACATTGTGAGACATGCTATCATGCTGACTCTGTAAAGGAACATGTCATCAGTATCACTATGCCACTAAAAAAAATCTCCAGATTATAAATGAGAATATGACCTAAAAAAAATACCTGAAATAATTCTATCATACAGCTCAACAGTGAGCTAAAATTTCATAATGTGTGTCAATCAGAAAATTCCAAATGATCACAAAGAAAATTATTAGGAATCTGTAAAACTTGACCTATGAGGAAAATAAAAAAAAAAATAAATTGTCAGCCTTATCTTTTTAAACTTAAGGATAAAGGGCATAAAGGGGGATGTGGTAAAAGTTTGCAAGTTTATAAAAGGCTAGGATAGAAAATAAAGAGTATAAATTACAAAAAAAAAAAAAAAAAACAATATAACAGGAAGAAACTTTATACAGGAGAGGTTGGTGAAGTACTAAAGCAGATGGAGTAGGAATATTGAGGCTTTTAAGGTTATATCAGGCAAACATTTGTCACCAGTGATATAGTTAATTGTGCCTTGGAGCAGAGGTTACATAATTTCCTAGTTGAATGGCTTTTGAAATAGATCATGACTGATCATTTCAGTAATGTACAAAGATGTACTTCTAGAAAGGAAGACATTAACCTGTAAATCCCATTGTGTTATAATGTTTCTGTTGTTCATGGCATTAGTACTCCTAAACCATGGATTAGGCACCATAGCTTTCATGTTCTTTTCCTTCTCAGGTGTCTACATGACCTATTGGCTTTCATTTTGTGATGTTACCAAGTCAAGCACTACTAGTACCTTTCATATGGTTAGGTTTTTGTTCTTCTAATCACTCTAGTAGCTCTACTATTATCTCCTCTTTTCTGAGAGTTAATATTCAGAACTTAGACCAATCACTCAGCCTGACAAAATGGAATTTGTTTTTCTGTTTCTGCTGGAAATCTGTGACCTGACACATCCTAGTGATTCTAGGACTTCTGTTTCCACAGCGATGGTTCAAAATCACTGTGCTATGTATTAGTATATACTAGATGCTATTATTCCACTGTTACATGATTATAACAGATTGCTGTTGTTCCAAAATTAAGTAGAGTACCACTGAATACCATCTTAATTTCAAATTCTTTAGTAATAGAAATGAGAATTCAGTTCTTCTGTGGGGTTGTGCCACATTTCTTCTGCATTGACAGTTTCTCCCAACTCCTGCATCTTCTTTTGGGGTTACTCATGGAAATTTAATTTATTCTGAGAGGGTTTACATGATGAAAATATACTTAAGGACCTTAGTACTATAGGCATAAGAATGAAGAAGAGAGGCGATATTCAAGGATAGAGCACCTAACGATTGATGCTAGAGAGCCAAATGTTTCTGTGCAAGGGGAAATCTAAGTGTCATATGCTTATGTGTTTTATTATTAAACTGTGGGGCAGAGTTAGTAAAACATAATTATTCTTCTGTTGTAAAACTGAATTTTGGGCTGCAATATTGTTAGTACAGTGCCACTCAACTTCCATTCAACAACATGAAGTGGATGACCCATGACTGAGCAGTCTAAATACTGTTATACTGCCATGACATACATTCAAAGCTGAGTGTGTTAGGAGAACATTACCACTGAACTAGAGTTTATCTTTCATGAGCAGATGAAAAAAGAAGGAAGAAGATGGTCCTATAACTGAGATGAGCTGTTAGGAGAATGGAACAGTTTAAATCAAAGGACCATCTGGGCCAGTATTCTATCTCCAGAAGTGGTCATGAACTGATGCCTGAGGAAGATGAGAGGAATATGAAAAGAGTAAAGGAAAGGAATAGAAGTAATAAGAAAAGAAGAAGCGTAATAGGAAAAGCACATATGAAACTTCTCCGTGTGCACCTCACTTAGCATCCACTTATTTTCAAGTCAAGAGATTTTCCTGATCCTGATGTGTCTTGTCTTTGTAGTAAACCTCAATGTATTTATTTTGTTTATTTTTTAAGGACTTGTCAGTTTTCCTTGAACTCCTGAAAATTTCTTATATCTACAAAATCTTTTGGCAGAGAGTTCCATGATCTTCTACCCAGTGCTTGGAGTCACTTATGGTACATACCTTCAAAATCATGATAGGGCCATTTTATAAGTTAATTGGCCATCACTTCTGATGGCTGCTGCACAAGGAATATATATCTTTGAGTTCTTTAAGAAGGTCAGCATTTTTTGAAGAGTTCACAGCCTCACAGGGTTGTTTTGGTTTAAATCCATAGGGCCACTGGAAAAATACAAGTGTGGTATTTGGCCTCAATGCTTAGGTTTTAGAAGTGCTGAGCACCCACATGTCCAAATGAAAGCAAGTCATTGCAGGTTTAATGTTCATATGTCCCTTAAATTAGGCTATAATAAGTATGATTGATCTTGGGTTCAGAGTGTGATTGTAAGTTTGGCATTAAGAGAGAAAGTTTTTTTCTCTGTACCTGGAGCACCTTTGAAAACTGATCATCACCACGCAATAAAAATGAGAGCTATACAACTTCTAGACTCACTATTCATAGTCATGCTATACCTTAAACTTCTTTTAACCCTACTTTCCACTTCAACAAAATGTTGATAGTAAAGCTTGCTTATCCTATGCTTAATGAACTGTTTGGTCTAAATTTGTGCTGGCAGCTTTGGAACAGTGCAAATATTTTTATATTTCCTAGGTTTCAAACATTAATTGTTATTTTGGTGAAGTTTTTCTTTTGCTTTATTTCTGTGTGTTTGTTTTTCTAAAAGAAATGCCATGTTAGCCATACTTAGGCTTTATCTTCCTGGAGTTTTTTAAACCCAAAGTTTGGTGTCAGATTTATTCTGAGACCATGAGAATGGGAATACTCTAGCAGTACTTATAGAATACTATTATACAATGTGTGCTTTCTGTAGAATGGAGATAGTGTACTATCTAATTTTATCTAATACTTTAAAATTTTAGATGTTGAAGCAGAGAAAAGAAAGAAAGATGAAGCTGTCAAAGATCTGGAAATGTTTTGGAAATACCTAGAGCCAGTTCTGAACAGTGGAAAGCATGGATCACGTCTCTTTGATGTTGCCAGACTTCATCACTTGGTTAAGGAGAATGCCTTTCCCTCCGACTGGTCTGACAAAGAAATGCTGGTCAGTAGATAATGCTTTCACAACATGTGGCATGCTTTGAGTTTTGTAACATTTAGCACCAATTTAGAACTGGAAAGAATTTTTGCTTACTTTTCTATGAAACAGAAAGAAAATAGTGTATTTGTTATCTTCAACAAAAAATATTTTGTATATATCCAACAAACGTATTCAGCATGTATTCATGAGGAATCCTTTGAATAAAAGTACCTACCCTGGAGTTTCTTAATGTTGTAGGCCACAGCAGCAGAGTTGAAAACAAGGTTGAAGTACTAAATTTATTCTTTCGCTTCACAAAGGTCCAATTTGAATCTCATTAGAGAGTCAGGTGTCAGTGCTAAGTAAAAGTAAAAATATGTTGTTGTCCTACTGACAGCAGGTCTACTTACTGTATATCAGAAAAGTCACAAGAACTAATGAAAATGAATACAAGAGTGCTTTTTGTTCATAAGCTGTTGTTTTAGCACTCCTTGTACTACTTCTTGTTGTCCTACCCAAAACATGTCTCTGATGTGTTACTCTTTATAGCCTGCTGAGTCAGGAGCATTGGAAGGCAAAGTAAACTGTTAGAAATTTTTTCCAAACTAGGATCTCAAGTATGACAAGGTAAAAAGGTCCTGCTTCTTCCAATCCTTAGTGGTGGCAGTGAAAAATAGAACATGCTAAAGCAACATTCCATGATTTATCCTACTGTATTTGTGGTCTATATTACTAGGGTTAAAGGACAAACTACATTCTCCTAACACTTTTTTATAGTACATTAAATCCTGTATATAAACAATTTGGTGAGCTAGGAAGTACCCTTGATCCTGAAGGGATCAGAACTGAATTGGGCTAAATCCATAGTGGTTTCCAAGGCATTCACTAAAAATGCCTCAGTTGTGGAAATGTGTAGACTTGCTACTTACAACATTATTCACCATTATATTCCTGATCTAATCTTAAAATATGAAGCCAATTTTGAGAAAGAAGTTCTTTAATCCTGTCTATCTTCCCAGTAATCACCTCTTCTAGGGACCTGTTGCAGCCCATAAATATCCTGCAAGCACATATCTTTACTGAAATAAAATAATAATTATCTGTCACTGAAATTGTTCCAGCAGATTGTAGTTGTAATTTCACATTCTTCTGTATCAGAATTCAGCAGAGCTCTCAAGAAGTAGGAACATTTGTAAGTCTTTAAAGAAGCAGATGGGAAGAATGCAAGTCATGTAATCATAGGTGGATAGAGTAAATCTGTTCTGGTGGGCTTCCAGGCGAGTCTTTGAGTCCTATCTTGCTGCATCTGGAAAGATCAAGAGATACAGAAGGAGAACTTTTTTGACAAACTGTTAGGCATTCTTACAAAAAATGATATTGTTATATACAGATGGTCATGTCCTTTTAAAATATTTTAGATATTTATAATGGAAAATGCTTTCAAAAATGTTTTTCTTTGTTCAAGAGTCACTGGTGGCTAGACTCAGAGAATTTTCAGCAAGAATCTGATTCTGTTCTGAGATGAGGAGAAAGTAGGGAAGTAAATTCATAAAACTAATTATACTAACCTTTGTATCTGTCCCATTAAGCAGTGCCAGGTTGCACTATTTGTAACTCTGTAAAAATTAGAATCATATAATCATAGATCGGCTTGATTTGTAAGGAACCCTAAAGATCATCTGGTCCCAACCCCACTGCCATGGGCAGGAACACCTTCTGCTAGACCAGGGTGCCCAAAACACCATCCAGCCAGGCCTTGAACACTTCCAGCAATGGGGCATCCACAGCTTCTCTGGGCAACCTGTTCCAGTGCCTCACCACTCTTACAGTGAAGAATTTTTTCCTAATATTGAATCTAAGTCAAAACTCTCTTAGTTTAAAGTCATTACTCCTTGTCTATCACTATACTCCATGATAAAAGAGTAACTCTCCAGCATTCCTGTAGGCCCTCTTTAAGTACTGGAAGGCCACTATAAAGTCTGTCTGGAGCCTTCTCTTCTCTAGATTTAACATCCCCAATTCTCATTGCCTGTCTTCATAGGAGAGGTGCTCCAGCCCTCTGATCATCCTTGTGGCTCTCTTATGGACTTGCTCCAACAGGTCTATGTCATTCTTATCTTGGTGGCTCCAGTGTTGGACATACTAGTCTGGGTGGGGTCTCATAAGAGCAGTAAAGGGGGAGAATCTCCTCCTTTGACCTGCTGGTCACACTTCATTCTTGTTTTGTTTAAAAGACTGTGCATGAAAAACACTCCAAGACTTTCAAATTGAAATTTTCATATGCTCCAGTGATTTCTTGTAACCTATGAATGGAAAGTTTAGCAAAAGATCATTGAATTAGAAGAACAAAGGTGCACAAATATTAACTCTGAAAATTCTGTTTTCACAAATATGGCTCCTCTCTCAAACACCTCCTCAAAGGTTCAAACGTTACGAAAACTGAAACAAGTATTCCGTATCTGATCAGTGATTTGGGTGCTTGTTTTGAAGAGCTATAAGGAGGGCCAGATTTAGAGAAAGCAAATGCTTGGTACTTCTTAAGGGTCACTTAATGCTTTTAGTGTGAGTTAGGAACTTAATGACAGTTGTGTTTCTTCACCGTGCTTCATTTTAGGATACTTAAAATTGAGACATCTGATATTTACTAGACACCATCATTACATGTTTAGGCTGTGGAGAGAAGAAGGATATGGCCACTAAAGCCACTTAAACCTGAGTGTGGCACGTGGTCTGAACAGGGTTTGGTATCAGTACAAAAGCATTTCAATTTTAAAATAGCGGTTGCTGTTAACTTTTCTATTCCTCCAAAACCTTGGTGAAAACCACAGTACACCACCTCTGTAAACTTGTCTCTTCCTATGTTAGATTTCAGTAGATACAGTTTTCTCCGTTTGGATGTTTGGGTGATATGATGACATTCCTTTGTTTGTGCAGCTATGGAATTCTGTTCTTGAGGCCTTCTTTGTTTTAACATAGAAATAGAAAGAAAGAGAGAAAGTATTATGAGATGGCATTAATTAGTTAGATTATTTATATTTTTTTATCCTTCTAGGGCAGGAGAATGGCTGACATTGCACATATGCTGCAGGTTGATCACCAGTAGAAACATACACAGATGATAGAAAAGAAGTATTTTATGTTCCGTTGCCTTTTTCTTCCCATCCAAAAAATAACCTACATTTCAATTGCAAGACAACAGACCTTGAATGGTTACTGTTAAGATTTAGTTAAGCAGTATACAACTGAAGCAGCTGGATAACACTCAGTCCATACTGTGGTATGGCAGCATTTAGGCATATAAAGATGAGGATGCCTTGTTTTCTTAGACTTACTTTATAAAACATTTTGAATTAGGTAAACAAAAATACCCTTGGAAAATTTATAAACAGTTGTGTATCTGCTGGTTAGAGAACTAAGGACTTCTGTGTCTTAAGTTACATAACACTTTTGCACGCAAACTTCATCCTTTTTATCTTATTTTCTGTTGTAGCTTGCACTTGGCAGTGCACTGTTTGAAAGTATTGCTTGTTTAATGTATGACTCCCTGGATTGGAGAAGACAACATTGTAACTACTTGGAAAACACCAAGTTTATTAATGTGCCTGAATTATCAGAGAGCAAATCAACACAATCACCTGCAGCTGAGGCAAGGATCCTTTTTGCTTTACCACACTTTTTGTAGAAAATAGTTAGCTATAGGATAGAATTATCTGCCTTTAATTCTGCACTAAAAAAAAATCAGCTTGGACCATCACTCCACGTGTAATTTTTTGTGAATGAAATTGGGATTTTTGTCTTCAGCATTTAAAACTTCAAAACTTGGAGAGAAAAAAAAAAAAAAAAGCAAAGCAAAGTGTCATGGGTGTAAAAATGGCTTAAATAACTTCTGGTGACACCTTTATGTGCCTAGAAAAATCACTGTGCTTGCAGAGGTACTATGTCTTGTTACAGATCAACTATCCAAAAAAGATGATTAGTTCTGTGCCAGATCAGTTCCTTTACTTTGTTCATGGTGGACAAAAGCTTAAGTGGGCACAAGAAAGAAGCTTGTAGGATGTGTACTAGTGCTGGGGAAAAAATTGGATTACTCCATCCATAGCAGTGCTACTGAATGTTCATTTAAAGCATTCATAAAACAACATTGCTTGTTCCTTTCAGAGTCAGATAGGATTTGACTCCCCTAGTAAGAACCATTTAAAAGTTTAGCATCTGATAGAGGGTAAATAGCAAAAGATAAAGGAAATTGTTTTTTCCCACCTATTTACATTGGGCAATCCTCATTTGTTTCTGATTTTTTTGTCTTTATCTTTGCTCTTTTAGATACAACCAACACCACAGGGTACACCTTCAAAGAAAAAAGGGCAAGCAGAAGAAAATCTGCCAACAGTAATTTTGTCACAGGGTATGATTAAAGGATTAAAGCACTTGCCCTGTAGCTGTTCACTGTTAATCTTACTGTTCCTTCATCTGACAGCACAAATCTCTGAAATTGTTTGTTCAGTAAGCCAAATCTGATTTGATGTTGTGAGAGTAGTTTCTTAGTGAAAACGTGAAAGTCTGTGGAAACTGCAATGGTGATAAATAAGTTCTTCAGAGAATCACTTTTTCTAACTGTTCCTAATCACACTTGGATATGAGAGATATACAGTCGTGGACTTTATTAGTCTTTTTTAGAGAAATAGTTTAAGAGTTGAACTGGTCAGTAACACGAATTGTCATTTTTTAATAAATCCATCCTAGTACATTCTTTTTTTGTTGTTATTTTTACAACAGAGGAAGAATTTCCGGTTTTGGCTGCTTCTATGGATATGAGATATTACAATGACTTGCTGAATCAGATTCCTGAGGAATACTTTTCTGTGCCCTTAATGCTGAACTGCATGCTGGAACAGGTGGGAATATTATTTTTTTTTAATTCCTGTGGTTAATTCAGCTATGACCTGTTATAATGAACTGATCAAAGATTAATAAATCCATCTCTTTCATACGGAGCTAAGAGACTATGCATAGAGGCACTGACCATGGAGGTTTAATATAAAGGAATCATAACTCAGAAGTGGCTTACTTATTTTCTTTTCATGTTGTACACACTTACTCTGTACATACAGTATTATCCCAAAATCATATTTCCAAAACTATCGATCCAATATAATCAAATGAGGAAAAGCTTGTCATTTTGTAGCTAAGTCAGTAACAGTTTTTCACATCTTGCACCAGCAGTACTAAACTTTTACTGGTTTACTCAGTGCAAAGGTCTTACGGCAAACTTAACACTAGAATTCGTAGATATCTCTGCTAACACTAGAAAGGTCTGATTTCTGTTGAGTTCAGACACAATTTACAAGATAGTAAAGCTCTGTGTTATTTGAAAATCTTCCTTCTTTTCAAAATAATATATCAGTTCAATTAGTTTATTTACTTCAAGAATAGACTTAGGCAAAAAACCTCAAGATAAGGTCCAACATCTGAAATGCAGTCAAAATCTCTGTTCATCATTACAATTCTTAACATTTCAAGTCGGATATATTTTTCTTCTTATCCTTTGAAAAGTGAGTAATAAAAGAACACATTTATCTGTTTTCTATATTCTGATTGGGGCAGAAACTAACATGCAGAATTGCATTTTTGGTATTTGTAAAAAAAAAAAAAAAAAAAAAGGTTTTCTTTCTTTACAAAACATACGGGTATGTGTTTACCTTATAAACTTAGCTTATCTCAGGATCTGTCTGCTAGTTTTCAGGATGTTATGCAGTAGTCATACTAGTAGTGAAAGCCATCATATATCATATTTACTAGGTTATTGCAAGTGAAGAAGACCTTACACCACCTAGTCTGGTGGTGCCAGAGCGCCGGGCAGATGGACTACATCATACCATTGCAGATCATATAGCCTCGGTCCTTCCTTCTCTTCCACTTTCTGACAGTGAAAAAAAGGTTTGTGTTGTCTTTTATTTGTTACCTAAAATGACAATTAAGTATTATTATCGGTGTTCAATGCATCTTTCTTTTTTTAACAGAATCTCTATGACTACTTTGCTCCTAAGTACAGTGAAGAAACTGTAACCCCCAAGTACCCTCTCTTATTTAATTACCATGATACTCTGGCTCAGCGATTGCACCTGCTGAAGGTATAGTGCTAACAATCATATATAATCAGTTCTAAAGTCCACAGACAGCAAGTACTCAATGCACTAGAAAGGGTAGAGTGGTGTTTTTTACAAAGGAGAACTGCATAGCCTAGATTTTTCCTACTGAGATAGACACACTAATATGGTTTTAGTCTGCTTAAGAAGCAATGGGTTACTGCTGCTGACGGAGGACACGTCAGAAACACAGAGCATTATATTAGCGTTATATTGATTTCAGTGTTTGCATTAATAACAAGAATGTTTAGCTTTTGGTGTAGATGAGAGATACAGAACTCTGTTGATTTACTCTAGTATTCCAGAATTTTTGAGACTATCTAACACAGACAAATATCTTCTAACATCTAGCTGTTTTTATGTCTTCTGTCAGTTCTTCTCTTATGCATGTTCTTTTTCCTGTCCAAAATATCTGACACCATGATTCAATAACGCACTGTGAGCACATGCTCAAAATTTAAGTATATATCCAACTGACTTAAGCACAGTTAACATTTTTTTCTATAAAAGGATGTATTTATTCTAACAATTTTTAGAAATCCACTAGTGTTAAAGTTTACTTTAACTCTTGTACTTTGTTTTTTTGTTCCAGGTCCAAGACAACTTAAATCCAGAAAAGATTGAACATGAAATGATGGATAAATTGCCTCTTAGGGAACTTATCCATTTCACCCTTCCTTCGACTGTAAACAACACTAAACGCTTAGCCAGCATTCATGAGCTCATGCATTATTTCACTAGTGGTGAACTGATTTTCTTTTTCATTGATATAATTTAATCTTTTCTTCTGGCTGATGATTCCTGTTGAATAGATGGAATTTGGGGATGAGTTTTGTCAGCTACCTAAAACCTTTGAAGAACTTCCCATTTTTTGTATTCTTGATCATGCCTTGGCCTACCATACAAGTTAGGCTAACTTTAGACCTCGGTTCTTGGGCAAGCCAATATGTGTATTAATTATTGTATAACTAAGAGCTGGAAGCTTCTCAGAACTCTCTTACTACTTATTCATGTTTAATAAGAGAGAAACAGTTACATCTGAGAAAGGGAAAAAAAAATTGTACAAATTGCTATTTTGATCTTAGGATACAGAATGCATTTTGGGAGACAATGACATGCACTGCATGTTTATTTACCAACATTCTTCTGGAGGAAGAGCACATGTATCTCAGAAAATTTTAATTGAACACTAACTGGTTTTAAAAATGTATTCTCTGTAACCTGCTGGAATTAATAATGAAATGACTTCTACAATAATCTGTATCAAACCAGCAGAATACCTTCACTACTTCAACTATAATCACTTATGCTGTAACTTTTTCTTATAATGTGCATACCACTGTGATGTACACTGTGAAACAATCCCAAAGATTGCATAAATACCCTTAGGCAGTTTTGAAAGTTTACTCTATAACTACTAAGAAATATAAACATTCAAATCTGTTTCGTTACAGTTATGTCATCATATAAGGCACAGTATTTGAAGTTACTTTCCCAGCTATTCATTCCCAAAATCCCATGTGTTGGATTAGTTTACACTAGCTGCATTGTTTCTAGTTGTCAGTATGTTTTTTTTAGAAGGTGTGTCTTACCTATTAAGGTATTCTGTATTGCTGTAGCTTGCCAGCCGGTGGATATCAAATTTGATGGTCTTCACTGGACCATACTATACTACCAAATTCTCCCAACTGTTAACTTTGCTCAAGATAGCCAACATTTTCAAGATATTCAATGTTTAACTCCTCCAAAGAGAAAATGTTTCAAATTGAAGATATACTGTGTATGATTTGGGGACAGAACTACCTGTCTTAAAGTTCAGTCCCTGTCATAATTATCAATGTGTATGGACACCAATGCAAATAACCATAAATAGCATTTGTTATTGCCTTTGCACCTTGCATGCTTCTATGCAAATTTTGTGTAACATGTTGTCTGAAGAGGAAAAAAAAATCACTTGGTTCTTTGTTTGAAAAGCTACAGATTAATATATATATATATATATATAATGATAATAGAAGCCTTTTCATGAGCTAAAGCTGAAAATAACTAGTTGTTAACTGGTTTGGTAAAGCTTACACAGTACTTTAAAATCAACATAATTTGTATAAAGTTAATGAGCCAGTACGTATTCAGATGTAGGAAGCACTTCATTTAAGATGGATTAATAGTCAGGCATATCATTTTGCAATTTGGAAACATTCAACTTTGAATGCAGTGTAAAAAGTAGCTGACATAATTTGATCCAATACCATTAAGGAAATTGTTCTTGGCTTTTGCAGAGTTGCCAAGAACAATATGCTTGCATAGTCTTCTATTTATCTTCTGCTGAGCCATAAGAACATTTTCAGTTAATGATTGTAATTCTTTTATAGAACTTCTGAGTTGGGCTGAAGTAGAAAGAGCCTTCAGAGTGTTTACTTTTGAAAGCCTGAGGCTGACTGGGCTGAGTGACTCTGGTCTCCTGGAGAGCTCTGGATCTATGGTTGGAGGTGATTCTGAAGTGTCTTATATCCCCTGGGATAACCCAGCCAGGTTTGCAAGACAGCTGAGACAACTCTTCCTTATGGAAACGAAGCTTAATGAGAAATCACCAAGAGGCTCTGGTAAAAACCTCTCTATTTATGTTACTCCTGAAGAATTTAAATCTGCTATTTATTTTACCATATCGTTTGCTGTTACAAGGCAGTGATTTTTCTTCCTTGTACAAATCACCAAATATTAAATATTGCATAGTGTGCACATTGACTATCAACATAGGAATACTGATATACTAGATATTTTTGTATGACAACATTAAACAGATGATTTAAGCAACTCTTTGAAATGGTATGTGTAGAAAAATATGTACTGTAAAACTGTTTAATTGCTTGTGACATCAAATACATTTTAGAGACAAAATAGCTGAAAACATGCTTTAATACCTTTCTGAATGCAAGTTCTTATAAGTTATAATGGCAGCTGAATTTTTACTACCTTAGTAGCATCAACAAGGTAAAATCAATATGATATATAAGGTTAATTAGATGATTACCAGTGAAAAAGTAAGAGGAGTGGAAAATATATATACCTTACACATGAGGACTCTAGAAGATGATATAAAAAGCTGAAAGGTTTAAAAAACAAACAAAAAAAAAGGTGTTATTCTTGGTAATTACACGTATACATATCTTTTACTGCATTTTTATCTGCCAGGAGTTCCTCTTCTTTCACATGCAAGTAAATTCAGCATGGAGTTTTTATATTCAAAATTTTAGGCCCAATTTAGAAGAAGAACCATATTTATTTTGTGTCAAAGAAAGTAAGACCAGCAAATAAGGCTAACATATGGTAGAACTGACAGTACCAAGTTCCAAGCTAGTGGAGCTTGCAACTTATTTAATATGAAGTGTATGTTCAGGTTTATGTTAAAACTTGCTTTTGCAGCAAAGATACAGGAAAGCATGAACCTGAGAGTTCTGCAAAAGAGAAATTCTACAAAAACTGTATATACAGAATGAATGTGTTATATCTGGCCTAACTTTATCTGTCTAAAAGTAAGCATCTAGCCAAGGCTAATTATCTAGGCCTTTTTTGTGATCAGGGGAGAGAGAAGGGTTATTTAAGCAATCAGCTTAGATGGGATCCTTTCCTTACAATGTTGGAGCGGACAAAATGAATCCTTCTTATCTGCCTCTTTCTGTAAGTTTGAGAACATTTTTGGTGTTTATTTTCCTTTTTTGCTAAACACAACACTAAATATTGTAGTTGCATACACAGCTGTCAACATTTCAACACTTCTGCAGCACAAAAACAGATACCAAGAAGAGAAAATTGCTCTTGGATTTCTTTAGTCTTCTAAAGGCAGTCAGTAAACAGATGTAATTTCCCAGAGAATCATAGCCTAAAGATACATTTAGATAAATGTAGAGAACCATTCTGGAAGATGAGCTGTTCATGAACCATTTATGAACAAATACTTCCAGAAAGTATTTTCTCTCAGGAATAGAATTTTTCTTGTATGTATGAATTTCGATCAAATATTAGTGACTTGTGCCTTAATCCAGGGCATAAAGAATTCTATTGAAATGAAATTATTTCAGAAAGAGACAAAATGAGAATATAGAAGTAAAAATCTCCTTAAAAATCTCTATTCACATCAGGTGCCCATTTTAATACTGATAGTTTATCAGTCATCAGAATTACTAGTTAGATCCTTGACAGATGTGATCTGTCAGTAGCTAATAGAACTCTATAAATCCAATGATTCTGAAAAGTTTAAAAACCACATTTTTCAAAAATTCTAATATCAAAGTAGTTTATTTTACCTCTTATTTATGTAATCTGTGCAAAGGAATATCTGTAGTTTCTCAGGTAGTAAGCAGAAAAATGGTTCTTCATGTTAGGATCTTGAGGACACTTAGAGTATTTTTAATCTTTTTGACCATGCAAGGCCATCACATGACAGATCAAGAGGAAATTTTGAGTGGAACTTACAAAGAGTTCTTTTTTTTTTTTTTTTTTTTTCTCACTGAACAGTTTGGCACTTGTACATGGGTTTCAAAGTGTGGGAGAGGTATATCATGTATTTAGCTTACTAGTGTCATAAAAGAAAGCTTCAACTTGATGGCAGTCTCATTGAGGAGGCTGAAAGAAACTGCAGAACTCGGATCTTAGTGTTGAGGGCTGGAATTTCTGGAGCAATTTTAAAATTCTGCTTTCAATTTTCAGGACATGCAGAAACAGATGATAAGGATGGAAGAGATTGTCTGTCTGATCCTGCTTTGAACAAAGAAATGGATCTTTTTTCTTCTGATCTGGCAAGTGTGATTGATGAGCGGACTAAACTGTGCTCTATAGTATGAGACAACAGAAAATGTTGTTCAATGCTGGGAAATGTTGATGTGGATTCCTTTGCAATGCTGCATGAGAATGTCAATTTTGTGATGTTTAGAAAATAGTGACATAACTTTTAAGTACTGTGCAATCACTTTCTTTGAATTCTATGGTGATGGGGTTTGGTGAAGCTACTAATGGCAACACTGGTTTCATTGAATACCAGGGGTCAAATACTTGGATGAGAGTTTGAGAGAAATTGCCAAACTGTCAAACTAATAGACTGTGTAGTTTGGCTTCTTTAAAAACACCTGCCTGCCATACAGCCCTGGATAAATATAGCAATTTTAAGATTACTTCATAGGACCTGTCTAAATATTCATAATTACTTACAGCACTCAAAAACATATAACCTAATAATAAAAATAGTTGAATTATGTTTGCCATAAAGAAAAAACAAAAGCACAAACCTTTGGGAGCAATTGTGTTTTTTATTAAATATTGCCATACGGCTCTACACATGTGCAGCATTATGCAATTAACTGTGATGCAACATGGGATGCTGTCTACTAAGACAACAGATTACAGTTAACTTAATACAATTGATACTGAAATGTTGATATTCATTATTTTGTTTTGCTGTATTTTGAGGTGAGTCTGGAAAATAATGGCCTAGAACTAAACTTAGAAGAAATAAAAAAGATTCAGAAGCGTTGTCTGACAGACTGGAGTTTTGCCGAGTATTTTCAACCCCGTGTTCTTCTTCAGGTATCTGTGAACTGACAGCGTTATAGATACAGTCATGCCTCAGAATGCTTCACAAAGAATTAGTAGTGGAATTGGTTCAGTTTTATCCCTGATACATTTTCACCAAAACAAATTGTTCTTCAGCTGCTTTAAATTTCAAACAAGAAACTGAAGTTTGTACTTGTTTTTTATTTTGTGGTTTGGCGGCACTGCAGCTGTTCTTTTTCGTATGAGTCTTTTAACTAAATGCATGATGGGGAAAAAAAAAAAAATCTTACTCTTAGAGGGGATCCTCCATGACAGTTATGGGATTCATTAGTCCACTGTATGTAGCAGCATACTTTGCAAGTACACATTCAGCATATGTTTTATGGGCAAATAGAAAATTTTGTCATAATCATGCTTTACCCTCTCAGGGCTAGAAGGTTCATTTATAGAAATCTTGCAAGCTAAAGACCAAAATTCTTCTTGCGGTGAGACAGAAAAACAAATATGAAAGATAAGTTCAGGTATAGATGTTATAAGGTGATAGGCATTCTCTTGGGAGAGGTATAAGCTCTGAGCTGCCTTGAGCTTCACATGCTTCAATTCGTTTTTGATCCTCACACATGCTATACAAGCATTGAGGAAAGGCTGCTGTTTCAGCACCACTTTAGCATCACTGCGTGTCTGGTCACAGATTTCAGGAATTCCTTCTTATGCAAGGTAAATAGCTAACACTAACTGAACTGTCAATAATTAATGAATCTAGCCAAAAAATACTGATTTAAAATAACTGCAACAGAAAACAACAATATTTTGGTAATAATATTTCTTTATTTCCTATACTAAATGTCACATCTAAGCACAATTCTTACAACCAGCTGGTAATGAGATTTTCATATTTAAATCATACTTATTGTTATAGTATTACTTCAGTTTTACTTCAGTTCAATAGTTCTGTAAAAACGATGGTTTCAAAGAAAACTTTCTTCTGGCTATTACTAAAAAATAAGTTACAGCCTGCAGACAATGTAAACACTGAAAGTGATGGACTGTCCAGAACAGAGTGAAATAATAAAGGACACAGTAAATCTCAGAGATGTACAGGTCATAACTTAGCATATTGGATACCAAACTAACTTAACAGAAGTTAGTTTGTTTTTCTCTACCTGCTACACAATAGTTCTGCTGTTATTCATTATCTATTTAAACACTTGGTTTTAAATCTTAAATAGATATAAACAATAATTTTATTCTTTAGCTGATATTTTTCATTCATGGTCAGTCTCAGAAGTGGAGGATACTGAGTACCTATTCTCAATATGGATAGTAATGGAGTTCAGTTTCCACATACCTGAACACTTCAGATTGCTAGAATCCAAGTGCTTTGCGTACATCCTGATGGAAGAGTGAAGTTCCAGTGTACCTCAGAAGTACCAGCTAAAAGCTCTGCTGTGTACCATCTGCACATACTACTTTATATAGGGAGGATGTACCTTTTTTTCTTTGCTTTTTAGGTTCTGTATACTGCAACCCAAGAGTACAGATGTATTGATTGCTTTTATCATACCCAAGATAACTCTTTACTAATGGTTCTTCACAATCCTATGAATCAGTATCGTTCATGCAAAGAGACCTGGGATGTTGCATTACACTCTAATGTTGGATTCAGGTAATTTTATTATTTATATCTCATTCACAGTCATTTTCAATTAAAGCCTGCATGGCCATGCTTGGAACAAAGCTTTGTAATGAAAAGATACCATGATGTAACTATATTTATGAGAAAGCAAGTCATGCAGGTGGAGAGCAGTACTATATCAAAGTAATTAGATGAGACAAAGCTATTCAGAGGAGAACCATGCAGTAACTGTGTATGTAACTGCTTATCACATGCTATAAAAATACAATAATGCATACACACGAAGTCACATTATGGATATGCACATCAAGAAAATGATGCTGAGGTGGAGGATGTCAAAAAGGAAACTGTCTAAAAATTTAATTATCTTTTTTTTTTTAACTATGTTTACATAAATCATGCATTGTCATGGAAAATTTTTCAAGAAAAGCTAGAGGCCCTTTGTCAATATTAGATTCTTTTTTTTTTTTCTAACAATATCACATTCTTCTTGTTTGCCACTTTCTGCTCACCAGTAAGAAGTATCAAAGTACTTGGTGTGCTATTATTCAAGCTTTTGACAGTGGACCTGTTTATTTTGGAATGCATTTTTGTACTGAAGCATCAGTATACACGATGATGTATATCCAACTGCTATTCCAACTTACTGATCACAGGTAGAATGTGTGTCCACATGTGTCCATGTACTGATTTGTAAAAAGGCTATGATGTCATGGAGAGTTGTCTGAGCTAGCTTTAACTTCATCACAGTGGTACACTGTGATTTAATTAGATTTGATTTATCAGCTAGAGTTACAAGCAACTTATCCAATGGACAAGCTTTTTTTCACAGATCTGTCAGCAAGCATCGCTTTCTGAGTGAGGTGTCCTATTTACCAGAATACTGGAATCTTAACATAATTTTTTGTGCTTACCTATATATTTAATAGGCTTGAATGCTAAATAGGCAAAATATGTCTTCCTCAAAACATATTTTGTATCATGTTTCATATATTTGCTCTCAGTCAAGGAACTCTATGTGTCAGTCTCAGCTTTCTAGTCATTTGCACTTAAATTATTTGCTATGAAAAGAGACTGTTGTGATTAGCAGTGACTGAGACCCGAGTCAGGAGAGATTTACCAGCAGAAACTGGAAATTTCTTGGAGAAAATGATGGCTGTTTTGTGGTTGTTCCATTAAATCCAGTAAATGTCTGGTCTGTCTGGACAATCTTTTTTTTTTTTTTTTTTTTCTCCCATGTATTTAACAGTTGCAATGTACCCCAAAGATAATGAAAGATCGTATGTTAAAGAAATGCAGGTCCTACATTCAGATAGACACAGATAGGCAGTCAGTAGTGCCAAATGAAGTCCATTGCACAAAATAATATTGGTGGATCCTTGACCTGTTTACTTTACCAACTATTCCTACCCTTCTTTAGATATTTTTCCTATACCCTATGCTCTGGTTCAAGTTCCTAAACATAAACACCTCATGCCAGTTTAGCTGCCCGTGTCTGAGATGTCTGCACAGGGTGAGCAGATCTGAGACCATGAGAGACCCATGCTTTTCTGAAATGACACTGGAGACCAGGTTACATTCCCTAATATATCTAACGTTACTTGGTGTTTACATGAATAACCTCATCCTAATGACCTACTGTTGTGTTATCCATAGAAGCAGATAATGATGACCAAGACCTCCTCAGGAAGCAATTATCCTTGAAAAAATAACTCTTCATCTGTGGGGTCCTAAAACAATTTGGCAGCTCATGTTGAAAGGGCATTGAAATAGTCAATTCAAGGCTAGTTGCAAGATGGGAAGAGTTCTTGAATCCTGCAAAACAAAAGTTAAATGATTTTGCATCCAAACAAGGAATGACGCATGCTCTCTGGCAGATGAATTATAATTCTGTTGAGGCTTTTCTAGCTATATATTTTCTTATTATTATTCTTCCAGATATACTGAAAACAAGGCTTAGACATTAAATATAGCTTCTGCATGGGGCATGCCAGCTTTGTTCACTGACACTTCACAGCGTTCTGTTTCAAAGCAGAAAGGCATTTCTAAAGAAACTGGCGTAAGAGCTAACCAGAAGGTTTGGTTTTACTGTTCTTTTGGAGAAATATTCACCATGAGTGCTCTCTATCTTACTTGGTATCTATGAGGAGCTATAGGCTCTCTTTTGGTCCAGTTATGTGGCATCTATACCTGCCTTTTCTCTGCAAAATAATGAGCACGTTTTCTGACCTTATTCAACCTTTTTCTAAAGATCATTTCAGATTTCTAGACAAAGTGTCATAAATATTTGCTAGTGTATGTATCCAAGCAACATAACACTTCTGTGAAAGACAGCCTTTAAATACCTGGAGTGCTTCATGCTGTTGCCTGCATTAGCTTTCAGATCTTGAGTTGCCACACACACGTACATAAACCCTACTTATTAATGTAGTTTCGGTGATAGTGGTATTTTACCTTTATGCTTATATTATAAAGGTATTTTTAATTTATATTGATAGTTTAATTATACTAAGTATTACATTGTATTAATTATATTAATATTATATTTATATTCTATAATTTATATGAATGTACTGCTTGTGTTAATAATTATATTAATTATATTAATAATCATGCATTATACTTAGACTTAACTATTGGCTCCTGATGAGTTTAATAACTATTCATTAATTTACATTTTATTAAAATTACTATTATCCTAAATTTGGAGTTATATTTAAGAGTCACACTTTCACCACAGGAAGGGTACTTGACTATCTCTTTGTTATGGTGTTTGTTTGCTTGATGCTTTTTTATTGTGACATATTACAGACCAGATTCCCACTTTGTTGGTTTTTTTCATAGCTGCTCTCCAGAATATACTTCTGTTACCTGCTTATTTGAGAAATGACTACTAGTGGGTCCTGTTATGGTAAATTCTCATGCAAGACAGAAATTAAACTTCTTATGTTGCAGCAACTTGATTTAGAGTTGGTTTTGCTCCTAGAGATGCCAGTTAACGTTTCCTTCTTCTCTATGGACATCAAATCCTATAGTTCATCATGCAGAACATCCAAAAATGTAGGAATTGTGCCTTTCAAAGGGTAGGCAGTAGGAGGCTACCTGTGAAATCCAGTGGATGCTACTTACAAGCAGGGTCCAAAGGCATAGGTGTGTATGCCTACAATGATACATATGTACAAGACGTTTTGATTTTGGATAGAACTGACCACTCTATCAGGAAGCCAATTGAATTCCAACATTATCATAACTATTCTTTTTCTCAAATTCAATCTTAATGACATTTGTTTACTGTTTCATAGTAAACACATTACACAAGTTACTGGAAAAAATAATCCTTTCTGAGAAATGATTCTGAGTCAGACATTGGCAGTAGTGACATCAGAATACATATTAATAGAATGTGTATTTTTGACTTTGAATGACTGTTTCATTGCCCTAGAATATTTTCCATGCGAATAATCTCATTTTTATTTATAACATATATTCATCTTCAAGTTATTCCAGTACTGGCAACTGTAGATCAGACTAGTTTTGCCTTTTGTTTTCAACATCTTTGTTTTTCTACCTCATTCACTTTTCTTCAGATACAGAGTTGTCTTGTCCCTACTGAATACTTGATAAACAGTTTCTCCATGCAAGTACCTCAAAGCAGGCTCCACACAGATTGCAGGAGGTAGGAGAGGCTAGGGTATCTTTAAGGTGTATACGAACTGTGTACATCTCCTGCCTGTGTAGATAGCATACTTATTAAATCTCTTGACCATACAGTGTAATGCTACAGTAGCAAATTTGAAACTGTCATGAGGTCAAGAATTGTTTGTGCTGCCTACATGTTCACAAACAAAAACAGCAGATACATACAGAGCATTTGAACACAGTTGAATCATATTGAATTTATAAATGAAAAACATGAAGATGCAACAACTGAATCTCATGCACTCTATACTAGCCCCTTTTACTTTTGCACATGTGAAGAGTCTTACATTGAAGAATTATGGTAACCCTCCAAATAAAGAGTGGCAACTGCATATATGACTTTCAGCCTTCATCCTACCTTCTAAGCAGTTGTCCACAATTAACTATTTTAGTAGTTGTTTTAGATACCACTGGAAGATGAGATAATGCAAGTACAGATGCCAGCTGCAAACTCTGGATCAGTTTATCATTCAGTGCTGACTTCAGCTGTTAATTATCAATATTCTTAATTTATGCCAGGCTACAGAGCATTGATTCACTAATCTGGTTTTAGGTGACAATTTCCAAATGCCTTTCCAGTCATACTGATAGAGAAGAGCTAGAAATTAAATAGAATAACACCTCCTTAGTTGATGAAAATAAAACAAATGAAGTGTATGCTAAAAGACAATATAAATCAAGAGCTACTAAGAAAATAAGTCATCCAAGTGACTGTTCAATATTGACTGAATAGTGAAGAGCAGAATTGGTCTCAACATTTCTTAAACTGAATGTCTATATGTTTTCTGATTTATGGGTTTTCATTGATGGCAGGCATTCTTTAGAAAACAAGTTTCTAGTATCTCTTTGCAGAAAAGAGAACCAAAATCCCAAACATAAAAGAGATTAAGAAAATATCATCCAAGCAAAAATACCACCTTCTTTTAAAAAGAAAAAAGAAAAATGAAAGAAACCCTGTCAAACACAATCCTTCTCTCAACAGTTACTGAATAATATTTGTATAAGAAACTGAGAAGCCAAGTGATTTTGTTTGACCTGAAATCATATGAGTGGAAATAGATAAATATTGTGCTTTTCAGGAACTATCTTGAGCTGGTAGCCAAATCGATTGAAGACTGGGTGAAAGAAGAAGAAGTCAAATACCAAGAAGAGAAGATAGCTAGGGAAGTAGAGGCTCTTAAACTGGCAGAAGGCACTGCAGAAGGACCTTCTGAATTTTCTGAGTGTGCTGTCAAAAAAACTGGCTTCCCTAAGAGCGCCACAAGTGGGTATCTTTCTGTTTTATTGTAGAAAATTTATTCTTCATATTAAGTATTGAGACTCAAAGCTATTCAGAGTAGAATCCCATATATTTTTCATAAGTTAACCTTGTCTTGTCATCTATATAGAAATAAAAATGTTTCAAAATTAATTAAATTCACGTTTGAATATTCTGCATCATCCTTCATTCTGCAAACTGAAGCTCTTAATGTAAATATACGTTTACAGTACTTGTAGTTATTTAATGGAGTTACTCTAAGGATTACAAACAAATATGAATCTCTGTTTAGATGACTGACCATATGTAAAGATGATCAGTAGTTGAAGTTGGCATCACTGTTCAGAAAAAAATCATTTTTAAAAGGGCAGCATGTGAGAAGCTGTGAACTAGAAGCTAAACTGGAAACTGGAATTGACTAGTCTGGAGAGCAAACTTTAGTTACAATCAACATTTTGGATAGTGAAAATTGTAAGCCATTTATACAATAAATTTTGAGCAGGCAACAGAATCTGAAAATACATTTTCACAAAAGAGAACTCTTGTCCAAATTCTCTATTTGTGTATTTAAATTGAATTAACAATGGTTTGTTATTTAGTCTTTGCTTTATTCACCTGCTTTGAGAATATACTTGAAACCTTCTAGAACTAAAAATTACCATTTCCAAAAATAGGATTGTAATTTCTTAACCTACTTAATGCTTCTGTAAATAGTTTGGAAACCAAAAGGACACTTTCAACTTTGATATCATAACTTATACCCATCTAGCTATGTGTTCTGCTTTTGGCTAGGATAGAGTTAATTTTTTTCATAGTTAAATAATTTAACATTTGCTTTAGTCTACTTTTATACTTACGTATTTCACTATTTACTATTATGTATATTTATTTACTCACACTACTTTTTATTTATTTTTCCATTCTTTTTTTTTTAATTATTCAATTTTTACGTATTTATGACTGTACTTATTCCCCTTTCTTGTCTCAAAGACAGCACATCAAGACCTGAGAGCATAATGGAGACTATTCCAGAATCTCAATCCAGCAATGAAAAAAATCCTTTTATCAGAGAAGGCTCTCTTAAGGTGAGGCAAAAATATGTATTTTTCTGAAATGGGTTACATAACACTGATTTGTCAGAAATATAAGCTTTTGTTCTTATAGACTTATATAGACTTGGCCCTATCCATTACACTACACAGATCTAGCTTAACTAATGTACTCCCCTTATTTTTTTTATTTTTATTTGACTATATCTCATCTTTCTTACAATGTGTAGTGCTCTGCACTTCAAGTACTAACACTGGAATGTAGATATGAAATGGTGTTAGCCAATTCCTGGATACACAACTTGAGCAGGTATAGCTCAAGTTAGGCTAATGCCTATCTTATACTTGTGAATGCTTACTGTTTCTTCCACAGTGATTTCAGTGCTTTAATATACTGGAAAATGTCAGATATCTCATGTTGTCTTTCTGATACAAATTGGTAATTCTGGTCTTGATACCTCATTCTTCTTTCTGTAAAAGAATGAGATCAGTTTATCTCACAGTTACACTTTGGGAATAAATTAATGCAGTATGTGGTCATAAACATTGTGGACAAGTGAACAACAAAACGAATAATTCACTTATGACTGAATATGTAAGATACGAATAGTAGTTCTATATGTCTCCCAATGTCAAGAATGACTGATCCTGTGACTTGAATGAGTCAGTTATTTTATGCAAAACAGAGTATGTAATATTGTAAAACTATAGACAAGTTTGAAAAATGTGAGTAATTTAGAAGACCAAAAGAACCAATGTTCTTTTGAGTTTGTTTACCAATACTCTTTTTCAGCATGCATGTATGAAATACTGTGAAATAGAAAGAGAACCACAGTAATTTGAACTCTAAAATTTAATTTAGGCTTGGAAGGAGGAACAGAATCGATTACAAGAGGAAGAACGACTTAAGGAAGAAAAAAAAGCAAAAAAAGAAAATTTGAGTGGTAAAAAGAAAAGACAGGAGACAGCAATATGTGTAGAAAGTGAAGGTTCCAATAAGAAATCTTCCAAAGAGAAACTTGAAGATGAGGCAGCAAAAGCCCCTGAACCTGAGGAGGATCCCAGCATCCCAGAAACACATCCTGAGAAAGTGTATAAGGTAAGGAATCATACTGTTGCACCACATTAGGAGAGTGTCAGCTATTTATATATAGTCTAGATTACAGTAAAGCTATTATCTGTTGTGAAACTAGAGTTCAGCGCAAATTAAGCCTAATGACATCCTGTTTAATTCCATCATTTTAGCAGCGGATCATTTCCTAAAAGTTTTGAAAAGCAGTTTCTGACATTTATGACTATCCTACACAAGACTATTTAATTAAGTTGGATGTTTTTTAATGTATATGGCAAAAAGTAACACAAAGATAAGTTGATCATGGTTTTGTGACCATGGATAATATATTCATGGAATGAATTTTGCCTGAAGATGTGGCTTGCACGGGAGAGGGTAGAAAAAAGGAACATAGAGACCTGTTATGATTCACTTACTTGGGCATTGCTAGACCTAACTGAAGTTTTGGCTGTCCACATTGGAAATCAAATGAAAGGAATTAACTGTTTCTTCCATTTCCTCTTTCGAATTTCATGTTCTTGGAGTGAGTTAATACAAGATGTTCTGCCTGTTACACTAACAGAGGGATATTCCTTACTAGGGGAACTCTTCACTATTGTATCCAAACAATTTTTAGGCAGTTTGCACTGATTTATATTTGCTTTTTTACATTAAGCCTTGCATCCAAGACCATCATCCTGTCATTTCCTTCTCACTACACACCATGAAACTATAGATTTGCAAAGCAAATCTTCATAGATACTAGACTAGATGTCCCAAAAGCTATTCATTATTTCAATACCAGGAAATGACAGTTATGGATAATATCCTACTTCTCCTTGAAGTTTTCTGGGGATAAAGCTATGAAAACAGGAGATCCATATTCAAGGAAGTAATTCTGTACCCAGCTTCTACTTTCATTATCCACATCTCTTTCAAATTAAGGAATGTAAATAAGGTACAATAGAGTTCCTTTGTGACACAAAATCCCATTTTACAGATGTAGACAATGATTGTGCACTGCAAATGAAGTGACTTGCTTGTGTCAATATATTTTAGTCTAAACTTGCTTGAGTATGAGCTTCAAACAGAGATATGTAACTTCCTAGTCTGAACTTGCCTGAGTATGCTTAACTAAGTTTTTCCAATTTGTGGTTGGTTAGAAGGCAGAGCAATCTAAGAATCAGGTTTACAGTGTCTGAAATCCAAAATCATAGAGGCTGAAAATCTGAATCTTTACCTGTCCTGTTCATGATGTACAAATCTCATGGCATTGGACTTTGTCTCTTTGCACTTGTCCAGAATTTTTCTTTCCCTCTCATTATATGTTAAGCCACCAGACTGCTACTCTTCATTTCCACTGGTGGCTCCATACCACTGAATGACCAGATTCTGCACTCTTGTGGAACAAGTTACTTCAGTTAGTAACCGAGGTACTATTTGGATATACAAATAACATGCAATATATTTGCTAAAGTAATAATAACAGTAGTTAAATGTCTAAAAAAAATGTTCAGAAAAATACTGTTGTAATGATCTGTCCTTCATTTACCTCTTTCACAACTTCTGCCTTTCTCATTTACCCATAGTCTAAAATTTGTTTTTCCAGTTTCTTGGCTACAACATGGGGGAGAGTCTTATTCAAGTATCGGGAATCAATCACTATCTTTTCCCATCTGATGGAGGACAGATTCAAGTAGAGAAGATAGAGTTTGTAAAAGGTGAGTCTTCTGCTCTTTATGCTTTCCTTTAACTCTGTTAATAACTGATGACATGGTTTCTTTATCCGTACATGCTTTTTGACATCTCAGCAGTAGAAATTCTGTTAAAGACATAGTGAGCATACCATATAATTCCATATTAGACTCTATTACTGCTAAAGTTTACATTTTGCTATAGTAGGTTAGCAATTGGTAGATAAAGTATCAAAAATTAGAAATGAAAAATCTGTTCATATTTATATCCTCAACGGCAACCACTGCAAGATATTCCAAGAATGCGTGTCCCAATACTATGTGCGGTCAAATGCAACATTTCTAAGTAACAGAGTTATTTTGCAGCCTTTCAGATCTCATTGTCAGGAAGTTTTCTGAATTTTTAGTCACACAATCTAAACTCAGATAACTTTAATTTTGTCATCTTTGCCAATAGTAAGCAATTGAATCCAGTTCTGAGCAATTTTCTTTTTCGTGTACCTTGTAGTTGCATGTGCAAGCTTTTTGGGGACAGAGGTCAGTTCTGAAGCCTGGTGGGAGAAGTAATAGTATTCCATTGCGTTGCAGGTCTAACCTTGGTGAAGTTGAAAGTGATAAAGGACAACCACAATTTCTTCATTCATATCACAGATCCCAAGAAAATCTTAACAGAAATTGAAGTGCAAGAAAATAATGATGAACATAAAATTACATCAGGTTAGTGGTTTGACATCACTGATATAAAGAATTAATATTCATATTGACATATATGAATATTGTCATATATGTCATAAATATGTCATATGTCATATATGACAATATGACATATTTAGTAGTTGGGTGCAAACCTTATCAGCTAACATGAAATAAATTCCTAATTACAGAGGGTGAATAAGATCAGTGTTGCTCCAAATAGATGCGTAATTTCAAATGAAGAATGTGGGCAGGAATTTATGTTATTAGGCGTCATTCAAAATTACAAATACATCAGAATCTCTGTGAATGTAAGGTTTTTTTTCCACCATAAGGTGTAAGTGAAATGCTTAGCTATTAGTAACATTCATTAAAAAAAAAAAAAAAAAAAAAAAAGTGAATGTGCATTTTTCTGGCCAGTACCATCTCTTTTACAATTCACTGTCCAGATCAGAAGTCCAAAGAAGATGTAGAAATATTTTTTTCAGTAGACAGACTTACAATTGAAATAATCTGTTGGGGAATCTTGGAAACTTGCAGATCAAGAACAGCTCCAACAAGTTGGAGTTGAAAGAGTCTTTGGTCTTTGTACCCTCTGAGTCAGGAGATGGCAAAGACTGGGCACTTCTGCCTCTGTCCTCACCCTTGTGGACTGTGTTGTATGGAATGTTAACTTATGTGGGGAGACAGCTCTTTGTATCTGAGATCGGAGGAGGACCCAGTCATTAAAAGACACAGGACTAAATAATAATCCAGTTTTCTGACTTAAGCATCACGTAGAGATCTTATCATGGTATAGAAGTAAGCACAGTGCAGGACAACAGGTGCAAAGCACTCTCTGAGGCAGGGAAATCACTGAACAGATTCACTATTCCTTAAGAGAAGAATTCTCTTCTTTAGTAGTAGACTCCTGATCTTAATGTGGCCTGGGAAAGCCTAAGAGAATGCAAACTGAATTGTGTATATTATGCCCAGAATAAATTTCCCTGGAAAGGGAAGAGTTTCCCCTTTGAACTGGATCTCCTTTTGCGGATCATATGGCTGTAGAATTATTGCCTCCTCAAGACATTTGGTGTGGAAACAGATCCTTTCTGCAGTTCAGCAGTATCTGTTGCTGGTTGCCATGTTGCTAACTTACACGAGTATTGAATCCAAATCCTTCCTGAACCCAGCCGAGGGTAGTTCCAGGAAGGAAAGTGTTTTGTAACAATATGTGTATATATTTGCTAAAAGCACTGTGGGATTGCTCATGGAGAGCTGAAGAGTGTTGGAAAAGTATGACTTTCAGTAGATGTGTTAGTTCTTTTATTCTTCAGTGTTAGAAAGCATCCTGTTCCTACTCCTCTCTTTGGCAGCAGCTGCCACCATTGACATAGTAGTAGGTTGGATGAATAGAAAATTTGCATCCCTTCCACAGATGAGATATTTCTTGTCTGCCCTTCTGAAAGTGGTCCTGTGTCAGTCTGGGGTCTGTCAGATGGTACTTTCAATCACAGTGTGTTAACATCTGAAGCAACTCGTAGTCATTTGGCACCAGTGGGAGGCTTCATTTCTGTGTAAACAGCAGTCCACCATGTGATAGAAATGAGCAGTTTAACATTCTTGTCAGCCAGTACGGGAGAGAAACAGAAAACCTGACTCTAGAACTTGTTTCTTCCGCTGTTTAAATTAAAAAAGACTTTTCACTCATTGTTGCTATTAAACCTGTTCTTACAGACATAGCTAATAAGAATGCTATTTGTAAATGGAAGGCCACAGGTACATTATACAAAACTGACTATCATACACTACCGTATGAGTGGAATGACAGGCAATGCACCACAGGTATCACCCTTATAAAGCATTTCCCATCCTGTATTTATTTATTTTATGGGTTAGTCATCCACCTTAAGGTGCCACTGTTCGCACCAGTCATTGGTTTGCAGGTCAGGTGGTTCTTGTATGTGTTGCTATCTGTAAAATTAATTTATTTTTTTTTAAAGGAAAAATGAAGAATCAAAAGAAAGCTGTGAGCAAGTTTGGATCTTTTTCAGCCACCTTAGAAAATGGAATCCAGCTGTCCCTGAGCTATTATGGACCTACAGGGAAGACAGCAGGTAAAGTAAGCAAATAGAAGAGGATATTTGAGAACCATAGGGGGAATTATTTTTCTTCTTTTTTTTTTTTTCTTTCCATACACCCCTTATTCAATAATTTGTTGCATGCAATTTTGCCTTTCTTAGCAGCTGTTACTACATGGTGGGGAATTTTCAGCAAGGCTTGAGATGAGATTACATTGTCAAGAATATTCTGTGATTCAGATTTCAAAATGGAGGGAGGTCTCCATGCATTTTTTACTTACTGTGAAAATAGAGCAGTGCAATGAGAAACTTGAAAGTATTGTTATTAAGTAGTCCAGCAAAATCAGCCAGTTAATTTGAGCCAAAGAAAATGTGATTTGCTGAGGAGTCTTCTTGGTTTTCCAAGAAATAATATTTTTGTTAACTCATATAGGTGATTATGGAACTTTCATTTTATGTTAGGAGTTGGACTCTAGGCTACAGTTGTGCAGTCATAATGAGGGATTTCTCTCAGCCTTTCAATAAACACATTCACCAACTGGAAGCAATTGCTTCAAAAAACCACAGTGAAAATAGCGTCTGCTTTTACCAAGAACTTTTTGTTTCCATTACATTTGAAAGGCCACTGAAACCATCATATGAATAAAAGTGAAACCCTCCTCTGATCAGAAAATGATCCCAGCATTTTTCAGCTCTTAAAATATCAAAACATTTAATTGAATGCATCTTTGTGTGTACCGTAGTAAACCATTCAACTATACACTCAATTCATTTGAAAAATGTATTTGAATAATTAAAACTACTAAAAAAGAAATTCTTAAACTTGAGCAAAGATAGCATCCACAATGTAGTTGACTATGAAAATTCATGTATTTTGGCATGAGACGTGTCTAAACACCTACTTGTCAGCTGGTGATGTTCAGGTTTTTTTCACATATACCATAAGCAACCTGTTCTACATTAGAATAATCCTTGCCATGTTGAGCTTTACTGCATCACTTCTGACTGGCTGGTATGCTATGACGGTTTGCAGTTTTTCTACAATCATTTGCTTATGCCTATGTTCCCCTGTGGGCATTTGTATTATAAGTGCTCGAAAAAATTCTAACCAGAAAAACTCTGGCTTAGGCTATTCATATACACTATCCATCCCTAATGTAGAATGGTATTCACAGAATTCACAGAATTTCTAGGTTGGAAGAGACCTCAAGATCATCGAGTCCAACCTCTAACCTAACACTAACAGTCCCCACTAAACCATATCCCTAAGCTCTATGCCACGTAATCTATAGTTTCTCCCCATGGATTGGTTAAATTGCGTTACTGAATCATTTTCTGGAACCTCTATAATTCTCTCTGTTCTTCTTGTTTTTCTCATTTTATATCTACCATATTCCTTTCTTGAAGTTAAGATGTCAAAAATCCCCAGATTGTTTGTCAGCTTTATGTATCTTTTTTATTTCTTGGTTGACTTTTAATGATGTTTAAGTTAAACAAACTTTTAAGTTCTGAATTGTTTTCTCTAGCATGACCAAAATCTAACTTTTGACTTAGGAGTAAGCTTCTCATCACCTTGTGATGTACTGCTTGAGCACTTGTGGGACTTTCACATCAGGATATTATATAACCTTTGCACCTGTCTTTGTGCCTGGATGAAATCCTGAGAGCACATCTCCCAGTGCTGGAGATCTGATTTTGTTTTCAGCAGGAGAGAAACCTTCCTTACTCTGACAGTCTTCTGGAATTTCCCATCATTCTCAAGACTTCTAAAGACACTTTCCATCAGTCACAACAACCTATTCTGTCTTTGTTACCCTCAGACAATGAGTTCTTATTTTTCAGGGCAACCATAGTAAAAGAGTAGGTGAAATTTCCTTAGGGGTTGAGAGCCTATAATAGCCTTTATTCCTAAATTCAGCACTCTGGAAAGTGTCATCTGAAACTGATCATGCTCCACTTATCATGCTTGATAGTGCCGTCACTAAATGTGAGCGCTTGCTTATACCTAATTTGCAGTGTTCACATGGATATTTAGACAAACCTGAAAGGATATATCATGTTCGCAAATGATTTTAAAGGTCAGTTGCCTCAGAGTCCTTCATGTCACCTATCCTGCTTCTTGGTAGAGAATTACTTCTGTCCAAGCTTATTGGTCAGCTGTTTCTGCTCATTAGCCATCTGTAGGTCAGTACTACTGCTTTTTTATTAAACGGTCATGCTGTCTAATAAATGTGCATCACAATGGCTGCCATGGAGAATTTTAAACTTTCCAATTTCGTATAATTATTTAAGAACTTATTTCTGGCATATTACAAATAAAACAGATTTGTTTGTCTTTCCTCAGACTTCCAGTGAACTATAAAAGTCACACAGCATAAATTTCAGCACCTGAAAACAGAGCCACCTAACAAAGCATCAGATGTGTGTGTCAGCCACGTATCAGCTAATGAAAATGAGGACTTCAAAAATCCTTACGCTGATCTAAATTTTCCTATCAGCTAAAGGTCATGAATGTATTGAGATACTGGTGCATTTCCCTAATGCTGGCACCATCACAAAAACTGAGGCTTAGCTTAAAACCTGAGGTGGAAGGCTTGTTTTCCAAGGGCTTCTAATTATGACTTTATCACCTGGTAATAGTTTCTAGATGATTGTTAATTTTTGTGTCACTTTTGCTGTTCCCATAAATCCAGAATCATTTATAAGACAGATGTTCCAGAACACACAGACAGCCTTTCTAGTAGTTTAGAATTTTATTTTTGATGTGGGCTCTGCATTTTCTTATCTTAGATGCTAAAAGCATCTAAGCCAAAACCTTTCTGGAAACCATAAATACAGTAGCAGTTGGGCCTAAATTTTATCTTCTTCAGCTGAAGATATATTAACACCTCATTTGCATTACAGAAAATGCAGTGAGCTCATACTGGAATGGTTTTATTAGCACACTTCTGTAAGCATTTCTTCCCCCTTTGTCTGAATGCTATTTGGCTTGCAGTTTGTCAATGAGTTAGTTAACTTTCTTTGCCTAATTTATTAGTTTTCAAATTAGAAAATATTGGAAGAAGCAAAATTAAAAAGTAATTTAATCAAAAGGAGTTTATAAAATGGATTTTTGAAAGTCTTCCTAAAGACACTCTTGCAATGACTGACTGACTTGTCATTAAACTTCATACTTTCAGAAACTACTAAGCAAATCAAGCTTGCTGTATTAATTTATTTATTTTTTAAAAAAAAAAAAAAAAGCTGTTTTCTGAGGATCATGTTTTGCTTACTGGCATTTTCAGTCCTTTATCTATATGGATGTGGTTAAGATATGGATAATAAATAGCTCCATCTGGGGTAACAAATTTTCCAAAACAGACAGGAATTCAATTGCCTGAATTATCTGGATGGAAAACAAGGTGCTATTCCATGAATTGTAGTCTTGGGACTTGAGCTGCCTTCACGCAAGAGGAGGTGATTAAAAAAATGTGTCAAAAAAAAAAAAGGATTAGGGTTACAGCTGACTGGGTTTTTCAGATTAAGGAGAAATATTTGTTCATTGAAACAAAAAATGTGTTACAGAAAATCTTATTTTATATTAATATTATTTTCAAGTCAGTGTTTTGGAAGGCAACATGAGTACTTCCTGTCAGCATGCTTAGCATGCTGCCCTAATGACTGACTTTTAAGAAGTGAGAGAGACTCAGCAACAGAATCTTTCTGAATCATTTTAGCAAAATAGAGCTATGGAGTCCAAAACGCTGGAGTCAGTCCATGCTTCATCAGCCTATGTTAAAGCATAATAACAGTGACTTTATCGTAGATGCTAGACTCAAAATGTCTCCACATATATAAGTATTCTGGAGGTAGAAGAGAAAAACAAAGCTGTATTTTCTATTTTTGAGACCAATGACAAGCTATTGGAAACAAGTTCCAAGATTTCTTTTAGATTGACAAGTATTCCATCTGTGGAGAGATCTTCCAAATAATTTCATATATTCAGTCCCTCTGTCTTATTCCACTGAGTTTATTATTTCAAAGGTAAAATTTAGTGTATGAAATATTATCAAAAATAGAATGTGGTAAACTACATTTATGAAACTTAATTGCATTAAAATATTTATTTTCCCTTTTTTAGATGATGAAACAGATCCTGTCTTAGCAACAGTTCTGAACATCCCTTCTGTTCATATTCCGACTGTTCTTCCTTCTACTACATCAGCTTCAGGAAAAAAAGATAAGTCAGTCAAACAAAAACCAGGAAAATCTCTGCCATCTACAAAAGCAAGCCATAGCAGAGTAAGCTCTCCACCACCAGACACCCACGTAAAACAAGAAGAAGGAAAGGTGAGAGAACAGACATTATCCAATTAACACAGAAAAGAAATGAACCAAAATTTAAATATAGAAGCTTATGTAATAGACAAATATATTCGTCTCAGAGGGCTTTGAGATGTGCCTTAACAAATTCCTAGTAATTTATGGTGCTTCTAAGGATATGTTTTACTCTTCCAATTGCTCCTGGGTATAAATATTGGCAGTTGTTAATGAAGGTATCCTTTAAGACTCCATGATGTAGAACAGTGAGTCTTCCATAATCCACATGTTTTATTGACTTTGGCTTTACAGCTAAGCCTGTTACATTCTCACTGACTAGAACTGCTCTAGAAATTAATTTTTAGTTTAACCAAATACGAAAGCTTCTCTGTGCTTTCCACAACCTGTACTGGAAAGCCTTTACCGAACCAAATTGGAGTCATAGAATCATTTAGACCCTTAATATGATCAAGTCCAACCATCAACATAACATTACCAAGTCTACCACTAAACCATGTCCCTAAACACCGTGTTCACACATCTCTTAAATACCTCTAGAGATGGTGACTTCACCACTTCCCTAGGCAGCCTGTTCCAATGCCTAACCACTCTTTCAGTGAATAGATTCTTCCTGATACCCAATCTAACCCTCCCCTCAGGCAACTTGAGACTATTTCCTCACATCCTATTACTTGTCATCTAAGAAAAGAGACTGATACCCACCTCACTACAACCTCCTTTCATGTAGTTGTTAGAAAACAATGAGGTCTCCCCTGAGCCTCCCTTTCTCTAAACAACCCTGGTTCCCTTGGACATTCCTCATATGTCTTGTTTTCTAGTCCCTTCACCAGCTTTTTTGCTTTTCTCTGAATGCATTTCAGCAACTCAGTACCATTCTTGTAGTAAGGGGTCCAAAACTGAACATAGTACTACTCAAGGTGCGGTCTCACCAGTGCCAAGTACAGAGGAGCAATTACTTCCCTAGTCCCACTGTTCACAATATTTCTGATATATGCCAGGATACTATTGGCTTTCTGGGCCATGTGGGTACACTGCTGTCTCATTTTCAGCCAATTGTCAGCCAAAACCTCAGGTTCTTTTCTGCTGGGCAACTTTATAGCTGCTCTTCCAAAAACATGTTCAGCTCCATGGGGTTGTTATGACCGAAGCACAACACCCAGCAGTTAGCCTAATTAGTGGAGAGTTTTGCAAAAGCCTTCTTTGCAATTTGGTCTTTCCAGTTGATCATTAGCCAGGGACCAGCAACTTGAGGAAGCTGTTTTTGTCTATGGCTGAAGTTATTTCTGTCACAGGACAGGCCTTTGGAAAGGATGGATGGCATTTCAAAAACAGATTCTGAATTTCTGTTATGGAATACTTATCACAGAGTAATACAGAAATTACATGGCCATGTGCATTAGAAGAGCATAACATTTGATCTTGAACATCTTTCATAGAGTTCTGTGAGAACTCCCTTCTTGTTTATCAGAGGGGGCACACTCTCCTCGGCCTTTCCTTTCTGGCCAATGTACCTGTAGAATCCCTTCCTGTTATTCTTTGCATCACTTACCAAGCTCAGTTCCATCTGTGCCTTGGCTTTCCTGATCCCATCCCTGCACATCCGAACAGCATCCCTGTACTCTTCCCAGGCCACATGTCCCTGCTTCCACTGCCTGTGCATTTCCTTCTTGCTCCTCAGTTTGACCAGCAGGTCCTTGCACAGCCATCCTGGTTTTCTGCCCTCCCTGATCACTTTCTTACACAGGGAGATGGACAGTTCTTATACTCTAAGAAAAACATCCTTAAAGAGTTGTTAACTGAGCTAGGCAAAGCTGTTCAAAGAGGTGGAATAGGCAACGTGGAAATGAAGGGTTAACTGCAATAGATACATTTGAAACAGGAAATAGCTTCCAGTGAACAGAAAATGAGAGGAAAAGGTAGTAAGAAAGATAAGAATGGACAGGTACTGAGAATGTCCTTGGAAGACTCTCTGACATGACATAGCTATGCTGCTCTGTGGTACCCAGTGAATGAGGTGATGCTGTGTCTCTTGTTTCAACATGGATTCTGTCCGTATCCACAAAAAATGCTACTGAGCCAATTTTCACAAGTTTAACTAGATATTTATAAAGCATGAGCATTGAAAGTGGTGCAGGGATTTGCCAAACAGCACTCAGCATAACATACAGCAATTGTATGGTACCAAAAAAAAACTGCATAAATTCCTTTTTCACTAAAATTCTGTCATGAGGACATCTTGAAGTTCCTCCTTTTATTCCAAGAGGCTTTTTATGATTTCATTTAGAATGTCTTCAGTGATTTTTTGTGTTTTAATAAAAGCTAAAAAAAAATCAATATTAATTTGCTAGTGCATACAGCACTAGCTATGTGAGTCTGCAGGTATTTTAGAGGACAAGATCTGAGGTGAAGTTGACAAATTCACATGGACATCGTCCAGAAAATAGGATGCAATTCAGTAAGAAAATGTATTAGGTTCTACAATTGCACATAAATAATATATCAACAGAATGGATGACCATTCCATCAATAACAGTTATGCAGAAAAAGATCTGGGAGTTGAAAAGGATCACAAGCTATACGTAAGTCAACAATGCCATCTTGCTGTGAGAAGGGCAAACACCATATTGAGGAGAATAAACAGGAGAATAGCCTGTTAAATATGTGAAATTATTCTTCCATTCGGGGCTGGTAAAGCCTCAGTTGCAGTGCTGTTTCCAGTTATGGATAATGCACTGCAAGAAAAATATTGGCCATGCTGCAGAATTCTAAGGAAAGCACCAGGAACAGTAAGAGGTCTAGAAAACTTGACCAGTGAGGAACGGTTAAAAGACTTGGTTTGGGTTTCTTTGATCCAGAGCTTAGAGACAGAACAGCCTGCTCTAAAGTGCTAAATGGACAACATCATCTCTTATGTTAGCCCATATAACCAGAAATTGTTATAGAAATTATCAGAAATAAACTTAATTTTTTGCAAGAGAGATTCAGGCTAACGAAGAGGAAAGTCTCAGTAAGGCTAAACAAGGTAAACAAGGTAAAGCACTTGGAATAGATTGCCCAGAGAAACTAGGAAATGTCTAGCCCTGGAAATTTTTACAATAGGTAGGTTTTCTCAAACTGTATAGTTATACTTGATATTTTGATATAGTTATACTTGAGTTTTTTGTTTGTTTGTTTACTATTAGAAACGGAGAAGTAGATGACAACTGAGGTTTACTTCTACCTTTTTCTTCATTGTCTTCCTTATGACTCCTGTGCCTGTGATCTTAGGGTAATGAGGATAGCCTTAATTACCCAGTAATATGTAAAGTAGATATAAAATATACAGTATCCTTTATCTAAAATGATAGGGCAAAATATCTGCCATATTTTTCTATTTTTCCTCTATATTTCTTTTCCTATAAATCAAGAATATGGGATAATACCAGGACTAGTTCTCTCTGTTACCTGTCTGCAAAAAAAATAATTTCATCTTAGGACTGGCATAGAGTAGTTCATTGTCGCATATGTTTCTGAGGAGATATCATCAAAGGATCCACTGTTGTATATTTCCCAAATGTTCTAGTGTCTTCAGACATTCCTTAAGTCATCCTCGTCTTTTCTATTTATCAGGATGGTTTCCACTACAAAGCAGTACAAAGAGAATTACACCTTTTGATTGTCAAGTGTTCCTCTTGTCCTCTTCTCATCTACCATATTTCCAGCAGACTGGAAGTACTGCTCTACTTATCTTTTATGCTCTTTTAGTAATTATAGCTGCTGTTCACAATTATACAGTGCTGTTCTGTTATGGTCTTCCACTTCATGTTATCCATGTATTGTCATATCTTCCTGACACCATGCACAAGGTAGCATAATGACTCAGCAAAATTAATAAAGTTTGGAAGAGTTTTTCTTAAAGGGTTAATGAAGAGGAATGAAATAAGATAGCATAATCAAAAAAAAAAAAAATCAGGTAAGGTTTCCCCTTCAGAATCCATACATTCTCAAAGTGCTATACATGACTGATAGAAAGTACTTTTTTGAAATATTTGGTAAGTCTGATACATACATAAATAATCTAATTTTTTCTTAAGTCTTTTCAAGTGGAATAAAACTAATTCATGTTTCTCTCTGTAGGTGGAAATAGAAGAACCAGCTTCCCAAACACAAGTCATTTCAGATGCTCTTGCTTTCCGAAGCTTGAATGTCTCCTGTCCCAATGGACTAGTATTAACTTTCCTTCGTGAAAGTTTTGAAGGTTAGTTTTTTCAGCCACTGTAGAATAAGGAGTTTTTAAAGAAGTTAAAACTACAGAAGGAAATTATTTCTGCCTTGATAGGTGTAGATGTAGCAACACGAAGTATTAATGTCTCAGATAGCCATTATGAAAAAATCAGCAATTTAATAGCAATTGCAACATAAATAATGTGTTTCACTATTTGCACTATTTTTCATTATTTGCATTAAAAGTGCAAGGATTTAGACTGGGGGGGAGAGAAGCAGGAACCCTAAAAATACCGTGGGAGTCATGTTGAATAATCTGTTGAGTATGCATATGTATAGGAATACAGGTGAAAAGGAGCAATTTCAATTCCTGAATACATATATACAGAGGAATATTAAGTGATAACAGTAAGATTAGGTTACCTGTATCTGTGTTTCTTTGGAATATTATATGTTGTTGTTAAGTCTACAAGGCAAGTTTTTCATAGTTTGGAATATTCAGGACAGAGTAGCAAGAATGATTAATGGATCAGAAGGTTTATCTTACTGTGAGCTCATGTCAAGAGAACTTTATTTGATTACCAAAATAAAGATTAAATGAGTGACTGGTGCCATTGTGGAAGTACAAATAAATCAGAATTTTGATGACAGCTTGTAAATGCAGAGCTTGTAAACACAGTATACAAATGTATTACAAATTTTAGAGACTTGAAACTCAAGAATAGTGCCTTTATACTGGATTTAAGATACGCTTATTTTTTAATGCTAAGAGTGACTAACAAAACTAACCCGTGCTGTGATATACTGTCTTCTACTAGATATTTTATAAATGGGTTTAGTTGCTTTTCTAAAAGATATAATCATGTTGAAAAAGGAACCACTTCAAGTAAGTCCTTTGCTTTATGTCACCCAGAATGTACAGACAGGGTGTTTGTAACAACCCTTTATGCACTTATCTTTGAATTTCCTTTCAAAGAATGATCAGGTACATAGATATACCTGTAAGTTTTTGTGCCAGACATATTTTTCTGCAATGCTTCAATTTCCTTGCATTTTTGAAAATCAGCATGAGGTTCATCTCTGCATACCATAAACTGTTGTAATTCTCTTTTTTTTTTTTTTTTTTTTTAAGTTTTGGGTTTTGAAGCAGACAAATGCATTTTAGTTTTCTTTTGTCACGTGGTCAATTTTTAAAATGGCCTGCATCCAGATGTCATTTAATGCCTATGTAGAACGGATCCATGCCCAGGGTGTGTTAGAGCGACTGAGTGGGTGAAAATAGACCAGAACAATTTCAGAGGTTCCTATATATCCAGGATTTATCACACATGCCAAATCTTGCTACCAGTAATTCCAACATATCCTATATGTGAGCTATTGCATAAAAAACAGCAGAATCGTTCATTTTCCTAGCAACTGATGAAACAACAGTAAATATCATCCATACCTCTTAGAAATTAGCCAGCTAGCAAGTCCAGTGTATATAAATTAAGAAAAAAAAAAAGTTTTTTATTAAATAGCATTAGAAATGCTATATTGTCCACCAAGATACAGCACAGGTTTATAATCACATGGTTGAGAAATACCTTGATTTTTTATTTTTATTTTTTTGCCATACAAGCCTGAATTAATAGTAAACTCTTCCCTCATTTTTCTTATCAGATATCCCTTCCCTCTTCATATCAAAATATTTTGGCAGTTTAGGGTAAATGTGCTCTGATCAATCTGATATAAAGTACAGTAAAGAGGATGCAGATAGTTTTCACACATACAATTTGGCAAGGAGCATAAGTTCAAATACTAAATAGTTAAGGTTAATGGAACAGTTATGGACACATATATGTAGTGTCTTGACACAACTGCCTATTATACTCATTAGCACAGTGAACACACTGCCATAATTTAATCTAAAAACTTTTTTTGTTCAAGTAGACAAAATATCTAAGTTCATTTCCATTTAGTCTTAAATTTGGTGAAACTCAGTTACTTTTTCTCTGTTAGGGGAAGTTAGGAGATTCCTCTCACCAAATGTCAGTCTTCCAAAAGTTCAGCATCCATAGTAAATCCTTCTTCAAATTTCTCTTGTTTTCATGTGGAAAAGACAGACACCTCCACAGGAATTTCTAATTAGATAACTGCTTTAAATTGTTCTCTGATAGAGACTCTCCCTAACTCCATGGATTGCAGAGGAAACTGAGGAGAGTTACTTTTAATAGCTTAAGTTGAATACCTCCTATAGACAATATGGTGCTGGAGTTTTTACACTGTTTGAGTGTGTGTTGCACAGTATCAAGTAACTGTGAATATGCTTTCAGATTTGAAAGGTGAGACCAAAGCAGATGAAGCCAAGGAAGAGGAGCCCGAGAAAGGTGGGACCAAAACAGATGAAGCCAAGGAAGAGGAGCCTGAGAAAGGTGAGACCAAAGCAGATGAAACCAAGGAAGAGCCTGATAAAGGTGAAACTAAATCAGATGAAGCCAAGGTTGAGAAAGCTGTAACCGAAGCAAATGAAGCAGTGGAGGAGGAGGTTATGGAAAGTGGAGAGAAGGAACATGAGGTTACAGAAGGTGAAGTAAAGCAAGAAGATGCTGAAAGAAAAAAGGCGAAACAGCCTGCTCTGGAAATTCTTGTTAGGCAAAGTTATCCCCAAAAGATAAAGAACTCTCAACTATATACAACAGTGGCAAGTCATATAGAACAAGAGGTGTCAAGAGTCATCACTGGACAAGGAACTGTCGTAAAGTACATGATGGATGGCTCTACCTGGGTATGTTCAGTTGAATTAATTGGAAGCAGCCTGTGTATGTAATTACTGTTGAACTTGTGCTTGTCAGCTGACATAGAGAAGTATCCAGCTCATAGATGCAGGAGTTAAGTAACAACTGAGCTTTGCAGCTATGTCAAGATTAAAATGTTCTTGGCTTTGTTCAGAATCAGAACTAAGGGTGCATGTAGAGCTTTAATGATGAAAATTTTAGGCATGTGAACATTTAGACAACTTTGGGTTTAGGAAACAGCTGAATAAAGTTTTGAGAACTGCATTCCTGGAATTACACATCTAAAGTGTGGATTAGTTAGTTAGTCTTTGGGTATTTTGGCAACACAAAAACATCCATATGTTTTTTCAGTCATCTTAATGGTCATACAGGATCCAAAAAAGACCTGATCTTCAGTCCTGCAGACACCTTCAGGTATCCTAGATTAGGATACCTGATCCTTTTCATCAAAAAGACTCTATATTTCTATATTCCTTGTTTGTTTACACGTAGTAGGTTGGACCGAATTTTTAGGAGCTATAAGTTAGACACCACTTTTGCAGATACTGTAATCAATCTACAAGCAATTATCTTTTCAAAGTATAAAATTCTATGTATAGTAAGCAAACAGACGAAAAGAGTTCTCTGATTGTACTCAGAAACTATCGAAAGTATTCCTTATTATTTCCTCAAATTTTTTACAGTCTAAGTAGACAACAAATTCTTGTACAAATGCATTAGATTCATTCATTACATTAGATCTTAAACCATTTACCCAGGATTTGTGAGAAACATACACATTTCAGAAATACATGTATACAAGGAGCTGGCTGCTGTTTGTGTATTCTCAAGATACAGTCTCCTGACAGAAGAAAATAGGTCATGTGCCTAGCAAGATTGTAACACAATGCCTGTATATGCAGATTAATTGCCACCTTCTTTACATTAACTTAATATCCATGAGTCATCAAAAATGGAATGCATATAGACAAGCACTCAAAAATGAAAAAATGTTTAATTATCTTACAGTAACTGTGACTCTAGAGATGTGACTATATGTTGTCCATTTGTTTTCTACATTGTACCATCTTCTACCCCAAATATCTGTGCTGTATTTGTAAATGAATTCAGAGATTATATGGGTAATTCTAGGCTTGATCTGCCACACAAGGAATATGCATATCAAGAGTTAAGCATTTTGGACAGCAACCAGCTATGATAAGATAACCAAGCTATGGTTTCTCAGAAACCAGCTATAAGATACATAACCGTGACTACTTTTTATTAGCTGCCTTGGTGGATAAAAAAAACTAACAGCAATCCTAGACATGTCGAATAACTGAATCCCAGATCAACGTGGTGATACAGATGCATTGCTAGAAAGAATGGCATTCATAAAACGACATCAACCTTTGACCACTTAAGCAGTCAAAGAATAACCTTTGCTTTTATAATGCCTATTTGTTTCTAAATATAATCCCCATTGATTCTATATGTGAGCTATAGTAATTAGCAGTCCTTTCTTTTTAAGATAGCTTCTTTATTTTTTTGTATTTATTCTGGCAGTCTTACTTTTTTAGGTCTATTACCCACTATTCTAGTAACCCAATATTCTAGTCTCTATTCTAGTGACTATTATATTAGTGACACATACTTTTGAGACTATTTATTACCATTTGAAATTATTTTAGCCTCTAATATGTCTTTGCTTTTTGTAGATTCTGTTTGCTGATGGCACAGTGAGTAGGAGTCCTGATTCTGGACCTGTCCTTCCACCACCTGCAATTCCAGATAACACAGAGCTGTTACCAGAATCAGAGCCTTTACCGGAGACTAGCACTAAGAAAGGTAACATTTTGAGTGCTTCAGACAGATTTAAAGATAGCAGGGCTGATAATACTAAATAAAGGGCATTTTTCTTTAGTCTGAAAATTCTGCCAGTGTAAAAATGAAATTTTATCTGTACTCAGCTGCTGTACACTGCTAATTTGTTATCTTCACAGCAGATCATTTCTCTCCTACTCCACTTTTCTTTTTCTTCTAAACTGCAAGAACTCTAAGAAGTTAAAGGGTATATAAGAACTACCTAACTAGAAGAGTGATTTAACAGTCATTTCAAATAAATCCTTGCAACTACGGTAGTGTCAAATCCTTATTTATATGTTACGCAGTTTTTAGTCCTGGTGTTGAGAAATGCTCTTTTCACAGAGGACTTACAACATTTTTCTTTCTTGTTGCATGTATTTCAAGGCATCTAATCTTGGTCATAATCAATTGATTGTATGGATTTGTGGTCTGCCACAGTATTCTCATGTTACTGTGTTTGGCAGATAGAGAAGCAAATAAATGTTTGCTTATCATAGAATCATTTAGGCTGGAAAAGACCTCTAAGATCATCTAGTCCAACCTTTAACCTTACAAGGCTACCATTAAACCACGTCACTGTTCTACATCTACATGTTTTTTGAAGACCTACAGGGATGGTGACTCAACTAGTTCCCTGAGCAGCCTGTTCAAATACTTTGCAACCCTTTCAGGGAAGACTTTTTTTCCTAATATCCAACCTAAACCTCTCCTTGCACAACTTAAGGTCTTCTTCTCTTATCACTTGGTGTGTGGGAGAAGAGACCAATCCCTACTTTGCTATAGCCTCCTTTAAAGTAATTGTAGAGCATGATAAGATCTCCCGAGCTTCCTTTTCTCCATTCTAAACAACCCCAGCTCCCTCAGCCACTCCATACAACTTATGCTCTAAACCCTTCACCAGCTTCACTGCCCTTCTTTGGACACGCTCAAGCACCTCGATGTCCTTCTTGTACTGAGGGGCCCAAAACTGAACACAGTATTTGAAGTGCAGCCTCACCAGAATTGAGTACAGAGGGACAGTCATTTCCCTAGTCCTGCTGGCCACACTATTTCTGATATAAGCCAGGTTGCTATTGGCCTTCTTGGCCACCTGAGCACACTGCTGGCTCATATTCAACCAGCTGTCAATGCCCAGGTCCCTTTCTGCTGTGGAACTTTCCAGCCACTTTTCATCCACCTTGTAGCACTCTGTAGAGGTTGCTGTGCCCCGAGTGCAGGACCCAGCACTTAGCCTTGTTGAATCTCATACAGTTGGCCTCGGCCCATCAATCCAGCCTATCCAGATCCATTTGTAGAGCCTTTCTGCCCTCAAGCAGATCAACACTCACACCTAACCTGGTGTTGCCTGCAGACTTACTGGGGGTGCACTTGATCCCCTCATCCAGATCATTGATAAAGATATTGAAGAGAACAGGCCACGTTACTGAGGTCCGAGGGACACCACTAGTGACAAGCCTCCAGCTGGATTTAACTCCATTCACTATGACTCTTCGGGCACAGCCACCCATCCACTTTTTAACCCAACAAAGAGTACACCCATCCAAGCCATGAGCAGCCAGTTTCTCCAGGAGAACGCTGTAGGAAATGGCGTCAAAAGCCTTACAGAAGTCTAGGTAGACCACATCCACAGCCTTTCCCTCACCACTGAGTGCATCACCTTGTCAGAGAAGATCAGGCTTGTCAAGTAGGACCTGACTTCCATAAATCCATGCTGTCTGGGCCTGATCACCTGGTTGCCCTCTAAGTGCCTTGTGATGGAACTCAAGATAATCTGCTCCATGAACTTCCCTGCACCGAATCCAGACTGACAGATCTGTAGATTCTCAGATCCTCCTTCCTGCCTTTCTTGTAGACAGACATCACATTTGCTAGCCAACAGTCAACTGGGACATCCCCTGATAGCTAGGACTGATGATGAATGATGGAAAGTGGCTTGGTGAGTGCTTCTGCAGACTCCCTCAACTTGCTTCATACCTCAGAGTGTGGTCCCAGATCACTGTCAGTGCTACATAGTACAAAGAATGATTATGAACTGTCATAACATTAACTTATAACTTACTGGAAGCATGTGAATAAAAATTGCTGCTTAAGAGAAGTCTTTCAAAAAGAGATTTTCTGATTCATCAAGTCCAGTCCCCTGTTTTTAGGATATTCCTTAGGATATCTGGAAGGATGATTGAGAACTACTCTGACAAATCATCTTCTAATTTTTGGTCTCAGTATCTGTGGCCAGTGTATATATTTTATTACTTATCCTTTTTTTATAATCACTTCCCCCCCACCTTTCCTCTCTACTACTTAGTCTTGCCAAACTTACAGTGAATATTTGTATCTTTTTTGCATTTTGTTTACTAGGATTTGTATGCTGTAAACTTCTAGAGTCTGGTCCAGACCATGCCATTGTATTTTGCCTACACTTTATCTAGTTCCTTTTCTTCTATATGGGAGACCAGAATTCTCTGTCATATTCTTGATAAGATATCTCCATTACCTTTCACAGTGTAATCTGTATCTCTTTTCTTCTGATGTGCCATAGGTTTGGATTTGCCTTTTTTGTCACTCTGCTTTCACAGTGATAACTTACACTCATTCTATATGGATGGTATATTCAGGTCTTTATCTTACTCGACTGCTGCAAACTTGTCTGAAGCAGAAATCATTTTTATTAGTCCTTCTTTCATAAACTTCTTTCTACTAGGTTTTATCAAATTCCTACTACTTTAGTCCTCAAGCTCATGGGATAGTTTGGCATGTCTTTTTTTCCTATAAGCCAGTCAGATTCTGTTCTGCTTTGATAGTGCATTCCAAAGTCATGTCATAATCAGATATCATTAGCATGCTATTTGTTTTTATATGTCATTAATGAACATATTAAAGAGAGTAACTTTGAGTAACAGCTCTTGTGATTTCTGTCTAGTCTGGTAAATCATTCTTTCCATTCTGTCAGAGACAATACTCACAGAAATTCTTCAGTTGATAGATTTTGTCTTTTGCCTTATAGAATACAAAGTCTAATACAGACATTTTTGTTTCTGCAGGAAAAGGAAGTGACAGAAATGGTGCATCACACCCAAACAAGGATGAAGTATCTGAAAATACCATTCAGGGTCTAGTTGATTCTGACCAACCTAAGGAGAATCAGGCAGGAACCTGGATAACAACAACCCCATTAGGCATTCGAGTGGGCACTGAAGGAGCAAAACGAATGGATCTGGAGCCAATCTTAATCTATCAGGCAACTGACCCAGCTGATGAAACGGTACTACTATTTTTTGTGTGTTATTATAGCACTCTTAAGAGACGGGGATGCCATCATTATAGCACTCTTAAGAGACAGGGATGCCATCATCTGTTGTAGCATATGTTCATAGAATCATGGAATCTTAGAACCATAGAACGGTTTGGGTTGGAAGGGACATCAAAGATCATCTAGTCCCAACCCCCTTTCTTTGGGCAGGGACACCTCCACTAGGCCAGGTTGCTCCAAGCCCCATTCAACCTGGCTTTGAACACTTCCACAGAAGGGGCATCCACATCTTCTCTGGGCAAACTGTTCTAGTGCCTCACCACCCTCACAGTAAAGAATTTCTAACCTAATATCTAATCTAAATCAGCCCTCTTTTAGTTTAAAGCCATGACTTCTTGTCCCATCACTCCCTGACAAAAAGTCCCACCTAAGCTTTCCTGTAGGCCATCCATAGGTACTGGAAGGCCGCTATAATGTCTCACTGGAGCCTTCTCTTCTTGAGGCTGAACAATATCAACTCCCTCAGCCTGTCTTCATAGGAGAGGGGCTCCAGCCCTTTCGTCATCCTCACGGCCAGTCCTCTGGTCATGTTCTAATACGTCCTTCTTGTGCTGGGAGCCCCAGAGATGAACACCGTACTTCAGGTAGTCATCAGTCCAGCTGCTCATTGACATAGAGAGTAGTAATTAAGCCCCTGTCTGTAGCACCAGTCCTTAACCATCTATTGATTTGCTTGATTTGACTGTTCTTTCAATACATCGTAAAGATTTTATTACACTGTTACTAATACAAAAGCTTCAGATTTTGAAGGAAATGTAAATCCTCGGTGTCTGAACTAGATAAAGTTGTATTAGTCCAGCTTGTTCAGAGTTTAAATACATATCATCTTGTATTACTGTTGTTGCTGTTAGAGGTATCTCAGTGCTAATATATGTCCATATTCCTTCATTCTTTCAGGTTATGACTGTACGAGATGATGAAGTGATAATCATTGAGAAGCTGGATGGTAGCAGAGTAGTAGATCATGCTGATGGTACTAGGATCACAACTTTTTATCAAGACTGCAAAGAACTTTTTGTGCCTGAGGATAGTGAGGAAACAGGTAAAATCAAAAGGGGCTCATTTATCTCTGCTTTATCATGTTTGATAATTGTCAAAATATACTTATGAAGGCTCATGGTAGTAGCCTAGATAATAAATCCAATGATGCAGTGTAGGCTAGGTTTGCCTTTCTGGTCTTTTTTTTCTTTTTTCCCATCAGCATTCATTGTAAAATTTACACTGCAGCAAAGAAGTAAATTTCCTTCTTTCCACTTACATATTTGTATGACCCACCTCACCATGTGAACACAGTGCCTGAGAGTTCTGTTATTTTCATTGCCCTCCCTACACCTATCCTGATATAGCATGTAAGTTGATTTGAATCTTAACTGAATATATGTATAAGGACTGGGGCATCCTTACAATCCTCAGACAAACCGTGGACTCCACAACCTTGGAGATACTTGGAATTTCATTGAATATGGCCTTGGAAAATGCCCCATGTAGATACATTTGCCTGAAACAAATGAGGCTAATGGTCATCCATGTTTCTTGTGGCTGGCAGTGTATTCTGTATGCTTCCTTCAGTTGCTGGACAAGTTCTGTCTTCTGTAATTGATATGAAGTGTATATTGACTGTGTCGGTCTCAAGCCGACAAACTGTTCAAAGTAGGAAGTTCTGGTTGTACAGGGAAAGATAATTATTCAGTTAACAGTGTGGAATTTTAAAAATCAAAACAGTGACCTGTCTATTCAATGGGAAAGCAGTGGCCAAATTAACACACCAGTTCGATTTGCTTTCTATCACTTGTGCTGCTGAACAGGAATTCCTTCGCATCCTAGAGCATGTATCACAGGCGTTAAGTACTTCAGTGTTCCAACTTGTATGTTACAAATATCCAGATCATTATGTTTAGTTACATACCTGATAAATTAGAATGTAGTCACCTGGCCATCCTTAGATGAATGGACTCGCTGAGGTGATCAGCTCTGGTGTGGGTGGGTTTCACAGCAGAGCCAGGGATGGTGGTGTACAGGGGGTTTTCCTGAGCTGGGGAAGCCCCAGGGGAGCACAGAGACCCACCAGGGGCCAGCAACTCATACAAGAGCAGCTGATGAGGTGTGGGCACAACCAGCAGTAATGACAGCCAACACATAAGCAGCCCCTAGGGAGCACAGCAAACAGAGTGGGCAAAAAGGGCGTGGTGTGGCAGTTGGCATGGCAGTTTGGGTGGGAGGGCATCCCTTTGAGGAAGGGCCATCGCACTGGCCAAGAGGGAAGCAACAAGTACACCTTAACCCTGCTCCTGGATCTGCACAGTCCACAGGCACTCACCCTACCTGATTCTCAAGGCAGAATAGTGGGCAAAGGCTGTGGCACTGGCTGCATCATCTACCCCAGTGGTGGCTAATGCCTCTACCCAGACAGAGCTACTAAGGGGTGAGGCCGCAGTGCAGACCTCTGACTAGCGAAGTGCCTTGATCTTTCCTTGTGGTAGGGACAGGTGGCAGACCTGCCTGCAAAAGTTGTGCCTAGGAGGAGGACCTCCTGCACCAGGTGGCCAAGCTGCAGGAGGCAGTGACAAGGCTGTGTAGCATCTAGGAGGCTGAGGAGGAGTTAGACAGCTGGATCCTAGCATAGTCTGCAGAGGACCAAACAGCCTGAAATTCCCTCACTGCCACTCACAGAAGGGAGGGGGGGCAATAACACAGCAGGGTGGAAGCTGGCAACAACAGGGACCAACAGGAGAGTCTTCCCCCAAAGCCTGAGGTGCCCGTATGGAACTGCTTCACCCCTCTGCTGACTGAAAACACCCATTGCAGGGAGGGTGGAGCTGAGTAAGACAGCTTGGTCTGCTCCCTTCATATCAATTAAGTCCAACTAGGAAAAGGTGACAAGTGATAGTAGCAGGAGAGTCTCTTCTGAGTGGTACAGAGGCACCCATCTGCTGTCCTGATCAAATTAAAGGGAAGTTCTGTTAACTGTTCTGCCAGTTAAAGGGGAGGGGGATTGAAAAAGCCAGTCAAATCTGGCAAATAAAAAGATGGTTACAGGACTGGTGCCACAAACAGGGGTTTGGTTACTACCCTCCAAGTGAACGAACAGCTGGAGTGATGACTACCCAGAGTACCGTGTTCAGCTCTGGGGCCTATAGCACAACAAGGACACGGACCTCTTAGGACGTGGCCAGAGGAGGGCCATGAGGATGATGGAAGGGCTGGAGCCCCTCTCCGATGAAGACAGGCTGAGGGAGTTGGGGTTGTTCAGCCTCAAGAAGAGAAGGCTCCAGTGAGACATTATAGTAGCCTTACAGTACCTAAAAGAGGGCCTACAAGAAATCTGAGGAGGGAGCTTTTGTCAGAGAGTGTAGTGATCGGACAAGGTGTCATGGCTTTAAACTAAAAGAGGGAAGATTCAGATTAGATATTAGGATAGAAATTCTTTACTGTGGGGGTGGTGAGGCACTAGAACAGTTAGCCCAGAGAAGTTGTGGATGCCCCTTCTGTGGAAATGTTTAAGACCAAGCTGGATGGGGCTTGGAGCAACCTGGTCTAGTGGAAGATGTCCCTGCTGATGGCGGGGAAGTTAGAATTGGATGATCTTTAATGTCCCTTCCAACCTCTACCATTCTATGATTCTATGAATCTTCCTATATTCAGTAGAGAGTTCAAAAATTCTAAGGTTGCATAATGTTTACACAACAAAATTATATGATAAAGGATGTTATCAAAAGTTTGATGGTCTTTTACTGATCAGCCGTTTGAGAGAAAATGCAAATTGAATCCTAACACTGTCCTATGGTTCATTTACTTCAGTCTAGTTGTTCTGTATTAATTCTTAGATGAACTCTCAGAAGCCATTACAAAGAAAGTGAAACATGTACGAGTAGAAAATCCCAAGTTTGCTACCGTTACAACAAATTGTGAGGACGGTTCTTGTTGTACCATCTTTGGAGATGGGACATCTGTTATAGCAAGGCCACAGGGAACATATCAGGTGGGAATTATACTTTGTGACCGTGATACTTATCTGTGTCCAGAGTTCCACACCATCAGCTTTTCTCACCTTGACTATTTTAACTCCCTCCTCTGTAGCCTTCATGAATTGTATGAATCTCTCTATTTTATACTCTGCCAATGTTTAGATAGTTACTCACAGCTGTAAATTTATTTCACAATCTTAAATTATTTTCCAAAGTTAAAGATTTTACAAAGACTAGCATCAGCTTATTCTTATCATCTTCCTTCTTCCTCTCCCTCCATTCCCTCAAAACTGTATAATTCAGTAGTAAAGATCTGAGAGCTCTCTTCTTGATTTGCACCTGTTCTTTATTTTTATGCTATACCTAAGCTGAACATTTCACCTTTGAGGACTGAAACTCATCACTTTTTTCCTGTGATAGGTTTTACCCATCAAGACAGGTTCCCTTTTCATTGATGAAGATTGCACAGCAGTTTATACCCATGAAGTTTACAATTTTATCAGCAAGAAGGAAGGAAAACAAACAGGGAGATATGTTATGAAACACACTTCCAGCACTATTTGTGAGATGATGGATCCTGAAGGAAATCTTTTCAAGGTAAAATACATGGAAGGAAATGAGTTTCTGCATTTTAGGTAATTTTATCTCATAAACATTTTTCAAAGTTAGTTTGTAGCCTTCTAGTACTAATTCTTAAAGTAGCCTAGCTAGCCAGAAGGAACAGTTCCTGAATCAGATCTCTGAAATGTTCTTGAGAACGTGACAGTTCTCAGGTTTCACTTTCTTGGTATTTCCCCATTTTGGAGAGGTTGAAATAAAACACGTGGTCTACAGTTTATCTCACCTGTAAAGCTATGTTAATTATTGACTCATATTATATATATATATATATATATAAAAACTTCTGCAAATGAGAATTTAAAATGAGAGAGGGTATTGGCTTTTCAGAAGATCCATAGAAACACTCTAATCTGCCTGGTAAGGCAAATATTGTTGTAAAATTCCGTCTTTAAATTCACACTGTTTGTGCCGTGATCCTTGCACACCTAAGACATGCTTTTGAGCTAGGTTAGTACTTATCTTTGAGTTCATTTTAGTGTCTGTGATCCACATACTGTTTTCCCTTTGAAGGTTCTTAAAGGTTCTAAATGTGACATCCAATTGTAATCATTACCATTTCTCTGTATTATGTGTTGTTTATAAACACATGCTCTGATAAATCTGGTATAAAGTGCACTAAAGATGATATAGAGGGGTTTCGAACTTATACAGTTTGGCACTGAGACTCCCTTGGATATACATTAGCATTAAGTAAGAAATATCCCCAAAATTTTCCAAGACAGAGTCTCTTGTTAACTGATCTATGCACAATTGCAATGGCAGGCATCCTGCAAGTAGGAGCATGCAGCAAAAGTGTGTCATAGTCCTATGTCCCTTGCTACCCGATGCTTGATTTCTTCCTAGGTTTCCTCACTGGCTGAGTACTACAGGTTCACAACCTACACAATGCTTATGTTTCTCTTTTTACACTTTTTTTTCCTGTGAATTTCAGGTTGCTCCACCTGAAATATGCTTTTTTTTTTTTTGTCTCTTTCACTGGGCTAGATCATATTACAGTCCAGCAGCAAGTTACTGTTTTAAATAAGTCATGAAACGCAAATAATTTTATATAATTTCAATTATAGGTCATGGCTGATGGCAGCACATCTGTGGTTGTTCCTAGCATTGGCTCTGACAATAAGGAGAACAGGAGTTCGGTATCAGTACTCCCAGAAGATAAGAAACCTGTCATTTATGATGAGCATGTCCCCAGGTAAACAGCATGAGTTCAGGTTTTGTAGACTGGCACTTTCTTTGTTCAGTACTGTGTATCTACACGTTTGATGTCAACTTCTTGAAGTTCCATTTGCTTGTTTTGTCATCACAAAATGATTTTTAATTTTTGCCATCTAGAAAAGAATGCAGTTTGAAAGCCATTGGATTTGATCGGTGTGGTGGGTTGACATTGACCAGTCTGACAGACACCCACTCAGCCACTTGCTCGTTTCCCCTCCTTGACGAGACAAGGGCTGAAAATAAAATGGAAAAGCATGTGGGATAAAGACAAATTGCATAACAATTACTGTCATGGGCAAAACAGATTCAACTTAGGGAAGAATAACATCATTTATTGCCAATTAAAATAGAATTGGATGGTGAGAAACAAAGACAAACTAAAACACTTCCCAACCCAACCCCTTATTTTTCCCCAGCTCAACCTGACTCCTGCTCTTCCTCTCCTTCACACACCCTGAGTGGTACAGGTGTATGAGGAATGGAGGGTGGTGGTCAGTCCATAACAGTTCCTCTCTGCCTCTTTTTCCTCCTCACACTTCTCCCCTGCTACAGCATGGGTCCTCTCCATGTGCTGCAGTCTTTCAGGACAAGTCTGCTCCAGTGTGGGCTGTCCACAGGCTGCAGTTCCTTAAGGGAATATCCACCTGCTCCACCATGGTCTCCTCCATGGGCTATAGGGGAACTTCTGCTCTGGTACCTGCAGCACCTCCTCCCTCTCCTCCTTCTCTGACACTAGTGTCTGCAAGGTTGTTTCCCACGCTTTTTTCCTGACTCCTCACTACCTGCACAGCATTCGACCCTGTCTTAAATATGCTTTCCCAGAAGAGGGTCCAGGTTGGCTTCTGGGCTCAGATGTGCCTGGAAGCTGGGGCCATTGCAGCCAGCTGGAACCATCTGTGTCCAGCATGGGGCAGCCCCAGCCTCTCCTCGCAGAGGCCACCCCTGCAACCTGCCCTCAGTGCCAATACTTTGCCTCCTATGCTCAATACAATCGGAGTTGTTTGGCTGGCTCTCCAGGTTCTTCGTCATCCACACGGATGGTTCTGGAACTGAACTCCTGCGGCGCAAGGATGTAGAAGAGTACCTTGCTGAGGCTTCCAGTGATCCAGCTGCTGTAGTCTTGCAGGAACCTGTGCAAGAACATCCAGGTAGGAAAACTTAATTTCTTTTCTGACAAACTAGTAAGAGAAAAAAATACAAAGGTGGGATCAGAAGTGTAAAAATTTTATTTGGAGAGGAAATTTGAAAATGTTGTTCCCCACATAGACAGGCATCCAAACTTCTGGCAGTGAAGCAAAGGGAAGGAGCTTGTGCAAAAACTCTGGGAAACAGAGAATTAAATGAATGACATTTTGAAGGGATCAGTGGAGGAACAACTGGCATATCTTTTTCCACTCTCAGATAAACACACAAAAGCATTTACCAAATGCATAGATTCTCTGTGTGTTTCCATCAAAAATATTGAATATATTGCAATTTTCATTTAATGATATAGTTGGTTTATCTATGAAGACAGTGATGTTCTGTTGTTGACCATTAGTCTAGCTGTTGGAAAGAATAAATATATGTTATTGAGAAACTGGAAAAATATGACTGAAGTAGGAGAAGCCAATACAGGGTTGGTATGTGGTACCAACCATCCCGTTACAGCAATGCAAGAATTTACAACCTGAAATGGCTGTTTGTTATTGTGAAGTTAGCTAGAGATACTGTGTTTCTATAAATATACTGTGGCATAACAGGTAGATACTTATATTAAACATATCTTGAAAAAGACAGAAATATATGGTTCCCCTAGATGTGGGGGATGATAGTAATGACCAGTTCCTCCCCACTGTATAAACTGACTGGAATAATTTTGTCATGGGAGAAAGAAAAGAGAAAGGGCACTGAGAGACCCAAAAAAAGACAGGGGAAGTGGAAATCTCAGGAAGATGGAGAAGATACATACCAGTGAAAATCCCAGCCAAGAAAACCTGCTTGCAACCAACAGTCATTTGTAATGGTGGCAGTTCAATATTACCTCCAAGGAAAATGACTCTCATGAAAGTATTCCAATCACAGGTTAAGAGGAAGATAGAGGAAGAGTTCCAGGTTCAAGGTTTTCTTTGGATCCAGCCGTTAGGATGCTCTTCCAGACTTGATACTCTGCCTTTCCCTGTACACCATTTGCACTGATAATGAAGATTTACAATTTTGAATCATTGTAACAAAGTACCTCAGTGGCAATATCAGAAGTCCAACAATGGGGTAGATAAGATTAGATTCAGTAGACTTCAGGTTTGGGTAAGAAAAAATATTTTAAAAACTTCAAAATTAATCAGAACACTAAAAAGAGATAATAATTCATCTCTGATGGAATCCATCCAGTGACCAGATTGTGACAGTATAAAACACAGTAAAAAATTATGTTTATTCTGAATATGATGTACATCTTTTGAGATTAGTATTCAGTAAACCTGGAGGATGGTCTGTTCTTCTTTGTTTGGGATATTGTACACACTGTACTACTGAGCTGTTACCCAAGACTCAAAGCAAGTAGTGTAGGCAGTCAGTTGTTAAAGATGGTCTGAGTAATCCAAAGCTGTCAGCTATTCTACAATCACCTCAATCAATCCAATATTATCTATAGCCATGTGTATCATATTTTCACATTGAGTTTTATACCTGATAATAAGTTTCTTTATACTTACAAATGTATATTTTTTCTGGAGGTCTGAAACATTTGTCCATCATTTTTGGATTCAAATTGATTCTTACCAAAATGTGCCTTTGATCCAGGTGTTTTAAGTATTACTGTCCTCCGCCCCTTGCTTGAAGCCTCCCCCTGGGTAATGAAGAAAGAACCAGAGAGTATTGTTCCTCCAAATCTTCAGACAAGTACTTGGAATACATTTTCTCCTCATGAGGTATATTTTTTCAAAACTGCCTTTTGCTATTTAAGCAATATCAGATGTTTGGTAGAGAGGGGGAAGTGGAACTCTAAACAATGTGACATTAAGTTCAGTTTATGAAGCAAACAAAGCAAAAGGTAGGCTGTGTCAGGGAAAATGTAGTCAACTTGTGTTTCTTTTATACTCAGCGAAGTGCTACAGCAGTTTTAAGGAGAGTTCATTTTTCCAGATGAAGAGGTCATAAGATAGATAACTTGTGCCTAATGATCTACAGACTTGATTATCTGGATCTATGATGTTATAAACTGAGTATGTGCTTTTCAGCCAAGATAGGCATTACTAATATCTGTATTTAGCCAGTAATATAAATAGCCTCTTGCTCTTTTTCCTTGTTCTTGCCTATGTTCAGAGGAAGATCACAGATCCTCCAGTCAGAACGTATGTTTGGAAGGGTCTCGACATTGGATCCAAAAAGCAGACATGCTTGCCAGTACCTGTGCGAAAATGTCCTAATAAACTGCAAATCCGTCAGCTGTTCCAGTATCAGCCACTCAGTGATGAACTAAGAGAAAAGCTACAGCTTTCTCTCAAGGTAGTACAATTATATTTGCTTCATTCTTACGATGAGTAACAGAAAACAGATAAATCGGGTGACATGAATTTATACACATCTGATACAAGAGTTCTAATACTTTTGAAAAACATCCAGCATTTCATACATAGACAGGTACTCTAAGAAGAATGTATTTCTGAAGCAGCTCAACTCTCCTCTCCCATCCCTTTTGGAACCGACTTCTGTGCAAACACATGGGGTTCAGTCCAGTGCACATCATAGACAGTAGACTAACAAATAGTGTCTTTTCTGTCAGTATTGATATCTGTTACTTTTACTTTGCTTAGGGTTTATTTTCCTGCACAAAGTCTTGAAAACGTATATCTATAATGTTGTACAAGTATTTCTAACCCACCATAAATCTAATTAGCTTAGTGACTAAGTCACTGAAACAGTAGTCTTTGTTATCAGTTAGTTTTCATGGATCAGTACAGAATATTCCTAGGTTCAAATCTGAATTCCATCACAGTTCATGTCTAACAAATAGCTGTGTAGCCTTCTGATAAAGTGCCTGTCCATCCCTCATTAGTGGCAGGTTCATAAAAAGGTCAAGGTTGCACCTCCTGTTTAAGCATTCTGAGATAGGATCTGAAAATTCCGCTGTTGATCCTTACTGGTAGTTCCATACTTCACTTCTCTGTTTTGGTATACCACTGATTTATTTAATTCACACTGTGAAAATGCTCTTAAAACAGATTTTAGAGTTAAAAACACATTGTTTGCCAACTAAAGAGTAACAAATTTACACATGTTCTGTAACTTAATTATTTAACATATTTTGGTGATGGATTTGCAGACTGAATTTCAAAATTATTGGCATGTAAAATCTGTGAAGGTAGTAGCACATTGTAACTTGTCAGACTGTTTTTTCACATTATAAAATAATAGAATATCATTGACAGCTGTTCAGCCCTGGCATGGTTTGAAACATACCAATCTATCAGAATTAAATTTTATCCTTTTACAGTCTATTCATACAGTAAAATGATTCTTTAATTTGCATGCTGATTTTTCAATGGAAACGCTCTTAAAGAAAAAAGTTCCAGACCAAAATCCTAACTTAAGTCTCTCCATCAACCAGATCTGTTTTGGCTTTTAGAGAAAGAACACTGTGTTACGTCAGGAAGGAAGAACTGCAGTTATTGGCACTGAGGTGACATTTGTAAATAACTGTATTAATCTGAAAAGGAAAAATCCTCATTGCTTATATATCAATGTCTAATTAATGTATTTCTCCAGAAACAAGTATCTTAAATTTTTAGCCAAATACTCACTTTGGCAGAACCAAGTTAGTATCTAAAGAACAAGTTATTCTTCCTTCCTCCATCTACTTGGAGAGGCATGAAGAAATGAAAATGAACTGGAACCAGATTACTTCTGCCAAACTTCTCCATTCATAAAACTCAGTATTGCATGTAGCTTTCTAGCAGGGTGGTGTGTTAGCACAACCCTCTGTAAGGACCCTTTTTTCCCTCCAACTAATCTTCTAAAGCATAAAGAAATGTGGACAAAGAAATGTCTTTTTCTTTAGCATTCTGTGATTTTGAAAAAGTAAACTTGTCTGTAAAGGCAGAGTTTCAAACATTTTCTGAAGCTAATTTTTCAACCATGATGTTGTACATTTCCTTTTCCCTAATAGAGAACAAATGGAAAGGAGAGAGACCACAACCAGTGTTTGTTAGATCACCTTTTATTCATTAAGCAGATCTTAATAATATAATCAAATCATTATTATTAATAGCAGATATTTTCTCAATACATGATTTTATTCAACCACATAGTTTACTCAGACACTTGCATGCTCATTCATAATTTCCTGGCTGGGACAGCAGCTGGGAGGCCATCCCTGACTGCATACTGAGAAGCAAGGGGTCACAGTGCTGCACCAGAGGATTCTAGGTAGCTCATCACCACCCTCTTGGATATGCTCCAAGTCACACAGCTTATTGTGGATGCTAATGTGTGCTAGCAGCCTGCTAGAGATTCAGCAGATGCATGGTGCCATCAGTTTATCAGTTCTTGCAGATTCAACAGTATTGCTAGTCATGAGCGTTGATTAGACTTTGGCAAGATGTTACCTGTTGCATTCTTGGCACATACACCTCTCTTAGACCTGCTAGATTTTTGTAACTATTTCTCCATGCAAACCTCTAGATAACCAGTCACAGAGATTGACACACAAAGGGTCTTTATGACACTGAGAAGTACATGCATCCATTGCTTCTACAAACCTTTTTCTATATATATATATGTGTCCAATAAGTCTACTTCTGTAAAGCATACATCTGCCTCTTTCTTGTTCTTTTTCCATTGTTCCACAAGGAATACATAGAAAACATTTTAAAGCAGGAAAGTGAGCTGGAAGAGATGAATGTAAAAGAACCAAGAACAGAAGATGAAAAAGAGAATGCTGCAAATCTCCTTGATATGGTTACGGTGAGAAAAAAAAAAAAATATATATATATATATAATTTTAAACTGCTTCTTTCCAACAAATATGTTGTATTGTGTTGCAAGTGTCATCCTTAAAACACATCTTAATCTATTAATAGAATAGCAAATGTTTGGATAGCACAATGCCACCTCTGCTGTAGTTTAATGGTGAAGCAGGGCCACACTGAGCATTCATCTGAACTACTGGACATCACTACTGCCATTCTGGTTAAGCAATGCCAAAAACAGCTTATGAGTTTAGCCTCTTCAGAATGATACATTCCCAAACACAAAGGCCAAAAATGACTGAGGTACTTGTGTCTCCCAGAATTAGGATGAGAATGTTTCCAGGCTGTTGTCACACCAACTAAGAAACTTGTCTTTTCAGTCACTGCAACCTCCATACCAAGAGTTAAAACCTGCTTTTGGGAGATAATCCAAAAACAAACTGGATCACTATTACTTGCCTCTGCCTGTATTTTGGACACGTATGCTCTGTTACTTTGCACAGCAAATTTGACTGTGAGAAGAAAAGGGAGAGGAATAGGAAAGGTGGGAAAAAGGAGAGGACGGGCTTGGAGTAGGAGTCAGGAAATGGTGAGGTGAGTGGGAGATGTGTGGTGAAAATAAATTAGAAAAGTTCACGCAGCAGAAGTGGGTGGGCATTAGAATGAATAAAAGAGACACTGTTTACATATTATGTTAAGAATGATCATAGATGTAGTGGTCAGTTTGCTCTATTTCAGTTCTTTAAATCATTTGTTTCCTACAGCTTTCTTTAAAATTTGTTATTTTGTGTTAACTCATGCTAGATTTTTAATAGTTACTAAAGCGTTTTCTTTTTTAGTCTCATTTAGGAAATGTTTTTATTTCCATTTAGTCAAATAATAAACATATAGTGACTTCAAACATACTGAATTTAAAAATCTGGCATTTGATTTAGTCATTTTAGTGTAAATATTCACTACCAAATGATGTATCCACCTTTCAAAAGTGAGTATATTCTAGCAAATGAACATTGTTTTAGGCTTAGAGTCCCTCCTCCCAAGTCTCCACCGTTCCCTTACTGTTACAACCTAGATTGCGTGGTCATAAGAACCCTGGCTTCCACTTAACTGTTTCAGGGCCGGCATGAAAGTAAAGGAAATGTCTTAGTAAAAGTATCTTGCACCGCTCAAACACTTTACTGTCAACCAACCTCAGGAGAGTTCCTCATTAATGAAACCTGCAAATTTCTGAATACGATTCCAATTGATTTGATTTCTTGTGTCCATGAGTTTTAAATCTGGTTCAAATGCTTTGCAGAAGAATTTGAGTTTGAATATGAACTGGCTTAATTGGTTTAATAAACAGCAACCATGTAAAATATGAACCTGTCAAGTGCATCATCAAGAAAGAAAAAAGTACCCATTTAGACCAGGGAAATAGTACCTCATTTCATTTTGTCCCAGCTCTTGTTTTCTAACACACTGAAATACATGTACCTTCATTCCTGAAGTCACATTCTCAGGTAACAGAGACACTTGTTTGGATTAGAAATCCTTTGAAGAGGATGCTATTGTGAGATCTGTTTCTCGCCTAGTCACAGTTATTTGTTCTTCATTTCAGTCCTTCCCTATATGGGAGAAGTCAACTGAAGATCTCAGTGCCAGAGGTAATAACAATTGAATATCTATCTTTTAAAACCATTGAATGCCATAGTAAATATTAAAGTACAGTAGTAGTGTTTTGAAAGAAGTAACACAAAAGTGAATGAATCTGTATGCTACGTACATGCTTCCATCTCTTTCATTTTGAGCATGATTTGCTCAGGGGTTGGAACTAGATGATCTTTAAGGTCCCTTCCAACCCAAACCATTCTGTGATTCTGTGATATTCACAGGTGGTTAGAGCGTGTTAGCATCAATGATTCAGTACCTCTAAAAAAACACTTCCTGTGTTTAGGCATGTGCATTTGTCACTTTGATCCACATTTTCGTGTGTACGCACTTTTCTCAGGTTTAAGAACTATGACACAGCTCTACTTGGTTAACTTTATACATATATCAATATTTCAGATATGTTTTTCAAAGCAACTGGGTACATCCTGGTTGTTAATTACATTTGAAAATCATGTCTCAAACAGTCATGTTTTGGTTCTGTCAGCCTTGTCTGAGGGAAAAGAAGAGCAAATGTCCTAGAATCATAGAATATCCTGAATTTCCTGAGTTAGAAGGGGCCCACAAGGATTATTGAGTCCAATTCTTGACTCCACAATGGACTACCTAAAAATTAAACATATGACTGAGAGCATTGACCAAACACTTCTTGAACTCCAGTAGGCTTGGTGCCGTGACCACTGCCCTGAGGAGCCTGTTCTAGTACCCTCATGTCAGTGAAGAACCTTTTCCTAATATTGATTGGATACTTTTCTAATATCCAATCCTTGGCGCGGTGTCATGCCATTCCCTCCAGTCCTGGTACTGTTACCAGAGAGCAGAGCTCAGTGCCTGCCCCACCACACCCCTTCATGAGGAAGCTGTAGACTGCCATGAGGTCTCCCCTCAATCTCCTCTTCTCTGGGTTGAACAAAGTGATTTCAGCCACTCCTCATACATCTTCCCTTCTAGATGATTCACCATGTCTGTTGACCTCCTTTGGACACTCTCTCATAGCTTTATATCATTCTTATACTGTGACACCGAAACTGCCCTAAGTACTCGAGGTGAGGCTGCACCAGCACAGAGTACAGCAGGACAGTCCCTTCCCTCAGTTGGCTAGCAGTGCTGTGCTTGATGCACCACAGGGTACAGTTGGCTCTTTTGGCTGCCAGGGCACACTACCTTGCTAAGAGTATTCCTGTTTGTTAAAAAATATCAAAGCACAATATGCAATGTAAATGGAAACTGCCACCAAGGCTTGCTACGGTTTTCTGAATTTAAAAATATAATCAAAACATGCTTCTAATATACCATTATTAACAAGGAAGATAGAGTGAAAGAAAAGCTCTTTAAAAGAGGCAAAAATAGAAAGAAAAAAATAAAAGGAAAATACAAGTTATTTTATTGTGAAAAAGGTGACCTTTTTTTTTTTTAATTGCTATTACATAATTCCTAAAACAGTAACAGATGTTGTCATGATCAAATAGGATCATATCTCAAATACTCGTATATCCTAAGTTTTGCCACAAAAATTTTGTTTGAACCAATAAAATTTATTTGAATTCAAAGTCTAGGTGCAAAGCATGAAATAAGCAGCACAATTTATAGAAGATGTAAGTAGACAGGGAAATTCTTTATTAAAGCCCCCAAATTTTAATCTTAAATATGGAAAGTTTGGCTTTTCTGCGTTGTACATATTGAAGCATTAGTTCCTTCCATGAGAATATTGATTGTGACTGTGAAGGCAGCTACAATTAAGTACAACGTAAGACTGCTGAAAGTAATAAAGGTACCTGAAAGCCCACATTATTTTCTTCACCTGGAGACAGAGACCTGGAATGTTGGTTCCCACTCAAAGTGACTGAATGCCAGCAACTTTTCCTATGGACAGGTATTTGATTTGTGTCTTGAAAGAACATAAATATATTTCAGGAAATACAGTGTGGAGGTTTGAGCTTAATATGTTTCTGCTTTTTTTCTACATTGAACTGAATTTTGCCTCTTATTCCACAGTAATAAAGAATCTGTAATTGGCCTTTCTCATAAAATTGCTTATTGACTGTATAAGACAGAAGAATCCAGGTTTCTCTTCAACTGGCTCTGCAGTATTATCCTGGCAATAAATCTTTAATTTGATTAAAAGTACAGGGATGTAATTAATAAGGACTAATTTTATCTTCACTGCTTTTAAACCGTAGGTTTACATCAAATGTTAGAAAGAAGCATTAAAAATATATCCTTTTACATGTTATTCATAACAGTTACAAATGTTTAGGATAACACTTATATTAAGTAATATTCTATACTCTGCAGCTAACGTAACTGAGCTATATGAACATGCAGTCGCTTCCCAATACCAGCATCACACAGAGAAGACAGTCGCTAAGCAAACAGAGGAACAGGAGCAGAGTTCCAGGTAGGACAGACCAGTAAAAGCTGATGTAAATAACACCAAGGATGGAACCAAGCTGACTGTCATTAAGAACCAGGACCTAGATCTCTAGATACTTATCACAATAGCTTTTCCTATGATTATTTTGTCCCACTGTGCCTCTTTTTCTTTATCTGAAAAATGCTTGAAAGTTTGTCAGAAAAAGATTCTGTGGGTTATTTTGGTTGAAAAAATACAATAAAAATTAGGATTTGTGCAAACAATTTTGCTGCAAACTATACAAATCTATGTCATGAGTCCTTAGTTAAAATTAATATAACATACTTAATAAAGAGCATTTCTTTCCAGGGTTATCTTATAAATGTGTTTGTGCTTATAAAACATTATGCTAGTTTTCTCATTTTCACTTCTTTTTTTCCTTCCTGATCATTCAGCACAAATGGACAAACACCAGTGTCCAAATGGCAGAGCAAACTACAAGAGTACAGGTAATAGTAGGACAGAAAGTTAATTGTTTTAAGAGCCAACTTATGTCTACATTTGGAAAGATTGTTATTGTTTTCACCATTCATTCCCAGTGAAAAACACAGCAATGTTTTTACACATTCATTCACAATGAACATAAAATATTTTGACAGCTATTTAGGTCATTCACTGTTTCTCAGATTATACAGAATAACCTGAAATGGTGATGAACTAGTATTATGATGAGACGCTTGTTTTTTCTTTCTTGATTTTGTAAGAGGTTAAAAAGCAATTGAAAACAATGTTCTTCCCTATTACTTCTTAATTACTTTCTAACTGACTTGCATGAGATAAAAATCTTTTTATATATACAATTTCAAATTTATACTTTAATATAACATTTTCCACTATTTTGCATACAATTTAAAGAATATATATATATATATATCTGCATAGCCAGCACTGAAGAATATCATGTGCAGTTCTGGCTCTAAATTCAGCATCAAAACTCTCAATAAAATTAAAAGGGTGAGGATTTCTGCAAGTCATTGAAACAATAGTAGTGTAAAAGTGGACTAACTCAAGCTGAAAACATAAGTGGTCTTTATTCATGTGAGTTTTACCTTCAGAGGTTTGGACAGCTTTTTCTGAGTATCCACAGAGACATCAAGTTTTTCTGTCATAAAATGAGGAAATTTGATTAATTTTGTTTTATAAATTAAATTTTTTTTTGCAATCATAATGCATCTGAAACACCAATCCTCAGGTTTAGATATTTGTTGGAAGGTTCAAAAGGCAATATATTGGCAGTCTTGGACATGTTCCACAAGATTTAGAGAACTGGAGCGTGTTTGGAGGAGGAACTCTTTGGAGCAGTGAACCCACAATTTATACACATTTTGATCAGCCCCTCCATAAATCAGTATCTGCAGAGGACTTTGTCTCTGCATGCCAGACTAGCCTCTTCTCAGTTGCTACTGAGAAAACTGCAAGAATATTGTTCAATGTGATTAACCAGAAAACAAAATACCACTTGCCACTCTTCTATTTCGCAGTGTTTCAGACATAATACTGAAAAACAGGGTGAACTCGGTTATAATGCTTTTTTCTTTCTTTTCGTTACTAACAATGACAAAAATTTCTTAGGAAAGAACTTGATGAAGAAAAGGAAACCTTAATGGCAATAAGAAACAAAATAATTCCTCCATATTTTGAATCAGAATGGGGCAAGGCATTTCTCTCAAAACAGGTAATGGAACTGAAAACTAGATATGTTTATGTGAGGCCAGGTAGCTTCTACCATCATCCCACAAAGACAGTTACGGTTTTACATCTCAGCCTGAAATTATCTCAATAAACTGTTACAGAGGACAATTGTGGCAGAATTAATACTGGGAATTATATGCCCTTGTCAAAGGAAACATATCTTGGAGATGGTGTATATTTACTGAGGCCAAACTATGTAGATTCCTTATTTAAAGTCTGGAGACAGTCTGATTCAGAACAGATGCTGAACCTTGGGTCTTTTCATTCACCCCTTGAAACCTCTCTCTGTTAACTGGAAAGGAAATCAGTAAGACTACACCTCCAGTTAACATGGGTGGTTGCCTTGGGAACTTTCCTGTTGTATTCTCACCTGATCAATGCTCTGAGTATAAAGTATCTTCAAAAATATATTTTGGAATCTATGGTATACTTATAAGTACTATTCTTACTACTTAGGTTCTCCTTATTTATTTCCATTGCTTTTTTTTTTGGGGGGGGGGCGGAAGGAGAGGGAGAGGAGAAGGATGAGAAGGATGCTATTTTTTTGTTGTTTTGTTTTGTTTTTTAGTGTTTCTGGTTAGAATACCTAAGCTCCCTTTCTTCCTTTTCTCTAGTTTCCTGATGTGGAAGCACTGTCTAAGGAGCTTCCTCCAGTTCCAAAAGTAGAAAGTGAAAATCTCCTTTTAGAGACAATCGAAAACCCCAGGACAGGTAATTTGAGCTCTACTGTCTGGTAACATTTTAATATATTCTTTCTTGTATTATTCAGTTGTCTCATTCCATACTGCAGTTAAATTTAAGAATAAATTATCTGCCCATATGTATTCTGGCATTTTGATACATGAAGTGCTTGGACCACAATAGCCATATCTATTCTAATACATGAAACACAGCAGCATTCCCTGAGACTGAGATACATCAGTATGGACAAAGCTGTCTATGCTAGTAAATTCAGTCTCCTCAAAAAAAATGATCTTTTCCTTAGCCAAAACTCATTTACCCAACAGTATTTCTGGGGGGACTGCTCAATGGCACAGTTAATATCATTCCAGTGTTCAGCAATTTAATCATATAGATTAACACGTTTAAATACCTGGGAATGTTCCTGTTTAATCCACTGATACTGATGCAGTCTGAGACTTCGATGATTCATGTGTTAAAGAAGCCTTTACAGACATCACTGAATATGAAAGCACCATAGGTTTTGGATGCAAAGTGGAAGAATTGTGCTATGAATATGGGGGTCGATGGATAAAAAGTGCTCAAGAAAACCTTAATTGAAATAAACAATAGTCAGAAATGGATGAGCAAGAAATGGGGAGGCCAAGTTTGGAAAAAGACTAGGATGAGTGCAGGAAAAAGCTGAGCAATGGTACAAATTGTGAAATGAAAGGGGAAGAGCAGAAACTTGGGGACTGGAGCAGAAAGGATGTGCAATAGGAAACATGCAGGGTAAGTATGGTTTAGAAAAATACAGGGGGGAAGCACTTGAAGGCAGAGGAAGCAGTGACTGAGGGTAAGCATTGTAAGAGTAGATCATTATCTGAGGTTTAAGCTTTACAGCACTGAGAGGAATACTTCAGCTCTGTTTGAAAGGCATCTCTAGCAAGTACTGAGATGATGTAGTGAGATAAAAAGTTGTACACAGCAAAGAATCACATTAGGAAAGCATTCCTCCATGGAGTTTTATCAGACCCCTGCTAGTTCGTATTTCCTCCTTTTGCATTTACCAGAAGGCCTGTGCTGGATTGTTCATTAGACCTTCCTGACTTATTTCTCAGTTAGCCAGAGAACAAGAAATAAAGTATCATAAGATACACATTTTTAAATGATCTTTGTTGCCTTGTGGAGCAAAACGTTACATGCAGAATTTTCGTAGCCTCTCATGGTCATGTAAACAGTTTTCAAAGATTGTCTAAATTAAGGTGCCAAATACATTGGGATTTTTTTCATGTGTTTATTAAAACGTTGATGATTGTGAAAAACACTTGTCACAGTATCCCATTATTTTTTCCTTCAGTATCTGAGTGTCTTAACAGCACAAGTGATTCTTCACCTTCTCCTGGTCTTCTGCTGAAGACTCCTTCAAAGCATAGAAAAGGTTCCAGCAGCACAACAGGTAAGGCTGCCTTCCAGAGTGTTGTTTGGAGTAGGTTCATTTCTGTCATCTTATAACTTGACAAAGTAGAAATTTAAATACAACTATTTCTGTTCAGCATTCTGAAAGTACATTTGAACATGACTGGCAGAAAGGGAGAACACTATAAAAATAATGGGCGAAATTCCCTCCTTTACCGTAGCAGACTGCTATATGGGGATGGCAGAACTGCAGACACAAGCAAGCTATAAATCCTCCCCTAAAACATTTCCATTGGCCATTGCTCTGCTCAGTATGTCTGTATTATACAACAGAGCACAGTTCAAAGATGACAGGGTAGGGGCTTGGCTGATGATGTGGTAGACCATCTTAGCTCCAGAATCAGAAGTATACAGGTAACACACATGAATGAATTGTTGCATTCAAGATAATAAATCCTGCTAAGAGACAGGGATTACTAGCTAGTTGTGCTTACAGACCTGTACTGCTTTGGGACCTAGACTAGAATATGTTGCTATGTGGACATTCAGATTTGGCTTGACCAACCTGGGTGTTCATTGTGCAGTCTAGGCATGCCTTTAGAATAGTAATGTCCTCAAATTCAATTTCAGTGCTAGGGATTTTTGTACCTCCTCTTCTGTTTTTAATCACTTCTGTAGGTGTTTGTACTTTCACTGCATGTTTCCACTGTGATGCTTCCAAACTATTATTAAATTTTAATTACTTGCTAGCAATTTTTTAAACGTACTTGGAATTTGGTGCTTAGTTTTTTGTGCTTTTGGAAATATTTTCTTTCCAGATCTAAGCAAAACTGAAGGGTCACGAGAGATACCCTTTCAACTTAAAGTTCAGAGTCTGCTGGTGAATGCTGCAGGACAGCCAAGAAAAGAGAAAGTGAAATTACCATCATCGCTCCAGGGAAGAAAACCAAACTTCATACCACACAAAAAGGTAAAATGTTAATTGTTAATACTAATATTCTCTCAGTCATCTGTTTTGCATAAAATCTTCATTCTGGAGCAATACTGGACAATGTTTTGAATCTGTCTACTGAAACAATAGAGCTTGCATTTTACACATAAATTTACTAGCCATTCTAAAAGTAGCTTTCCCCTCAGCTACTAGGGACCACAGGCACCCACATGAAAGCACTGGTTGCCAAAAGAGTACGCTCAGTTCCCCTGAGATATCTCATTGGCTTCCTAGTATGTCCAAAAACTCAAAGCACTATAAATTTGCAAACACTATTAGAAGTACTCAGCTTTGCTTCTTCAGTTAAGGTGCCTTTTTGTAATTTTTCAGCATGAGTGGGCAGAGGTTAAGTGTAGGTTACGTTAGGTTTAGTAGCTGTGAACCCAAGTTGTTGGCCACCAACTTTCTCTGTTGTCTAATACTTTAATTCTGTTTACAAAGATAGAAGATCCTGCCGCAGGAAAGGTCAACATATCTTCTCTTGCAACAACAAAATGGAATCATTGTGGCTTCCATCTCATTCCACCACGAGTGACATTTGGAGTACTAAAGGAAGGCTGCACCTATGCAACCACTGTAATTCTGAAGAATGTTGGCATAAACTTTTCAAGGTTGGTTCAAATTCTTAGTAACTTGTTTTACAACTGCCATAATTTGCACTGCTTGTTAACTGTCAACCTTTTCATATAAAATATAAAATAACAAATATTATTTTTATATTTAGAATCATTGATAATGACTGAGCAGGTTGAGACAAGATAATATTAGAAATACTTCAGTGTTATTTGCATGTTATTGTTACTAGGAAGGTGCAAATCAGTAATGAACAGCAGGTCCTATATGCATAGGCCTAGCCCATAGCAGATGATATACTGGTTCTTACTGAAGTTCTGCGGTTTAGGGACTGGTATTATGTTTGGCTTTGCTGGAGTTGCTGCTGAATGCTGCCTGTCTGACAATCTAAATGGTCTGATTTGTATTCAGGCAGCCACGTCTTGAGCTGCATTGAGAATCAGATTGAGCAGTGACAGATTCAGAGATAAGGATGATATAAAGCATTTATTTGTGCATGTTTCCTTCACTCAGGTATCGCCCCTATCAGTGAGTGAGAGAAGATAGCACTGCATTATGTTCCAGCATGGTGAGGATAAATCCATTTCTAGGTCTGCAGTCCAGCAGTGCAGTCAGCACTGCCTGACAAAGTACAGGAAGTTATCAGATTTACCCAGCTGTGGTTTAGAAGATATACAAATACAGTAAGAAAATGCTTATGCCTGCTTTCTTACTGTGATAGACTTCCCCTTTGGGGTGACTGTGCATATGTTTAATTTAATCACTCTTGCATAAGCACTGTTCCAGAGTTTTTACTTGATCAGCATTCAGGCAAGTGTGCTTATAACCCCTGTCCTCCCAGCTGCCATACACGTGACAGAAAAGAGGGCCAACCGTGTTCCTTCCCCTCAGCTCGCTCAACTGTACTTGTCTTAGCTGTGCTAATACGCACCTTGCTTTTTAGCTCAAGGAAGAGCCTGCAATAATTGTCTTTGAGTACTACAGTTTTTGAGCTTCCAGCTAGGATTTGTCACTTCAGCATAGCTTCAGTTGAATGGGAAGAATCCCACTGGCTGGTTTCAAGAATCGCAGTAGTTAGTGAGATTTTTTTTTTCCATTTCAGATGGCTCCAAATCCCCAAAGCTAAAACCTGAGACTATTTTCTTTATAAATTCCTCTATTCTGAGATAGCTCTTCTTGCCAAAGTATGCCAATGTCACTTTCTTAATCCCACCTATCCTCAATTACACCCTGAAACTGGAAGTATTCCGTTTATACTCTTTATCAGGGAGTGATATGATGGGACAAGGAGTAATTGCTTTAATCTAAAAAGAGGGTAGATTTAGATTAGGTATAGGATTAGGAAGAAATTCTTTACTCAGAGGGTGGTGAGGGACTGTAACAGGTTCCCCAGGGAAGTTGTGGATGCCCCATCCCTGGAAGTGTTCAAGGCCATGTTGGATGGGGCTTGGAGCAACCTGGCCTAGTGGAAGGTGTCCCTGCCTAGTGTAGGGGGGTTAGAACCAGGTGATCATCAAAGTCCTTTCCAATCCAAGCAATTCTATGATTCAGCAGTTAACTGAAGGCTGCTGCTATTTATGGTTGGGCCAGAGGATCATGGAGGTCTTTTCCAACCTTAATGATTCCATGATTCAGGCCTACCTCAGCCATTCATCCTAATGGACAGTTATAGCCTGCTCTCTCTGAATCATGGAGTAAGCCAGACTTGGACCATTCCTGTTGTATGGGCCTTTTTTGTACTAGACCAACAGATCACAGGAGAGGGAGGCTAACTGAAGGCAGGGAAATAAACTTCCTACTGTCATGTTAGCCTGGGTCATTCAAAACCTGTTTTGTCTTTTTAGCACTGATGATATAACTTTCACTTCAACATCAGCATTGATTAAGGAAAATAAAAAGGAAAGCATTAAATAGCCTTAGTCTTGAGTGTGCAAGTGTCACATCCCTGATAGCTAATATTGTATGTTCCTTTGGAAACATGAGCAAGCATCTGCCAAACTTTCCTTTTCTACATGCAGTCTGATGTCTTCTTTGAAAAGACAATCAAGACAACTGTCACAGTGACATTATCTTAGCAGTCACAGCATCCCGTTACTATGTTATTCTGGCACTGTGGTACCATAAACATAGAGCATTTACCTCTGATATTTGTTCTTCCTCTTTGAGGAGCAAATTATCATCAAAACAGAAACTCAAAGGACATACACCCAGCTGGAATCATCATGGTCTCTTGTCAACTAAGTCAGTCAACTGAGCACTTTAGAAAACTGTTCAAGACCAGCTGAGAGATTCTTATACAACTCCTTCCATCAGAATGGAGGAGGCTAAAATAAAATAAACCGAATTAGATGTGGTATCAAAGGGACATTTCTTCTTTAATGCACATTTCAGCATCATGGTGCATGCTGATAATAAATCAGTAGGTCATATATCAACATCATGTGGCTCAAGATGTGCATGTTATGTTCTTTAGATACATGCAAGAGCACTATATGGAGACAGTCATGGAAAATACCACCCTCATTCTGCTAAATCCAGCTTAACTTTTAAGTCTTTTACTAGCTGCTTTGAGAAGTGAACTAAGTAAGTAGGTGCTGCATGACAGCAGTACACACTGATGAGTTGGCTGTTATGGCCCATGCCCACCATGTGCTGAAGCATTTTCCAGGACAGAGTCTGTAGTTTACATGTCTTCCAAACTGTCTACACTGTTGCCTTTAGAATATCCTGACAAAGATAAGTCCAGTTTCTCCTAACAGCCAGCACTCCGTGAATTACAACAGCCAGTTTATAATTCTGCCAAAACTTTCCTTAAATCAGAGCCATGTACTGAGCATGCTTCTTCTACTACCTTTCCTTTATCACCTTCTTCTGTAAGAACTGGTAACTTGTTCAGGTGGAAATGACAATCACAGGGTAAAGTTAAAAAGTTTGGTTGGTTGGTTTTTACAAGCCAAAGCCACAACAGAACATAACTATCTGCATAGTATTAATTAAGGAGAGGGACAGGGGGAATGTCACATCACAATGATCTGGAGCAAGGGAAGGTGCACACGCGTGGCAAAAGGACTGCACAGATATGAAACAATCAATGAGAAATGAAATAAAACTACTGCCTTAGTGGGTACCATGAAATTAAAGAGGCTCATTTACGTGAAATATATACCAGGATCGTGCTTTACAATAGAATCACATCAAACCACATCAAACAAGGATGAGTAAGGACTTCTGGGTGTGCAACACACAGGTGTTTGTGAAACAAAGATGTAAGTTCAGCTTCCTGTGTGTATGCAGGCTTAGGCTGCAGATGTTTCACGTCCTGTTTTAAGGACAAGGCAGAGTAATGAGCTCTTTGGAGACTTACTTTGGCCCATTAAACTGCTACTTTGGTTTTTTGGTAGAAACCTGAGCCTTGGCTAAAAGCCCAGGAATATTGCTGTAGCCAAAGTTGTACATTGTGATGGTAAGGATGATCTAAAAAAATTCTGCTGTCATTTACACAAGCACAGGAAGAGCAGATGGCCTGCTTTCCAGCTGTGCACTCTGCTTCCTTGAAAGAGATTCTAGCAAAACTGATTCTCTTCCTATTCTGACAGGTTTCGGGTGAAGCAACCACCTCCGCACACCGGACTGAGCGTGATGTACACACCAGGACCTGTAGGTTACACAAAAGATCTTTTGTTTTAGGCTAGACTCACATGGCCCTCAGGCCATCTAGAGATCCTCCCATACCAGCTGTCTGGGAATAGAGCAGGCAGTTATTTTGTTATAGTTATACATATGGTTATATATTCAAATAACTTGAAAAATATTTGAAGTGATGCTACCTTCTGCTGTCTCTGTTGCCTTCTACCAAGGGCCCTATTTTGCCCTGAGACTCCAAGTCTCAAAGCCTGCCCCAGAATGCAGAGGAATAAACATGCTCAATTCAGCTGGAAAGCAGCAGGTCAAGCACCGAGGTTAAAGAGGGATTTTTTGATGCAGACTGGATACTCTGCCTCTACCTCCAAGTTTTTTCATGGCTTAAGGTATTTGTTATAGCTGCTCTGTCTTATGCCTGGACCTTTATGCCTATCCTGATACCTGTAAGAGCTGAACCTAGAGAGCTGTTGCCTTAACTATTCTTCCTCTTGCTTGCAACTATCTTCCACCTTATCCCCTTTTTATCCATCTATTTTTATGCAACCACCCTCTGCCTTATCCTCCACCTATCCTTTTTATCTAGCAGAGCACCACAGCATGTGAAATCGTCCCATTAAACAAAAAGCTTTCTTACTTTCTGCTTTACTTTAGTCTCTCTCTTCACCTGCATGTTGTATGTGAACAAAGTCCTGTTCAGATACTTGGGCCAGTATCCAAACAGCACCCATGGTAAATACCCATCACTATCCTTGTCCATGCTTTTACAGGCATGCAATAAAGAAGCAATACCTTGTGCAAGGAGTCAGTGCTAGAATACAAGTTAAATTTTCTAGTCCTGGAGCCCCTGCCACAATCTGACACTTAAGAGGACTAAAAGAATTTCCATTCTCTTTTCCCCTCCACACATCCATTCATTTGTCATCTCCCCTTTCTCCCCCATCTCTATGTTTTTTCATTCTCTCTCAGCTGCCCTCAATTCCCCTTTTCCCTCTGGAACCTAAAAGAAAATTTAAGGGGAAAAAATTGCAAAGAGGTAAAAAGAACACCTGACAATTTCCTTTCAATCTGCAATGTGAAGAACCACTGTTTTGTACAGACCTTTTTAGTGAAACAGATACTCAGTAGCTGGCAAGCACAAGCATTTGTGCTGGGCACAACTGAAGATGATTCAAAGACACAGAAGTCTTTGATTTCATCAGAAAACACAGAACACGAACCAACTGTAAGCATTGCTGGAGGGGGCTATGAATGAAACATGCACCTTACCTGTGAGCAATCCTCTGTCTCTCCTAGGTGGCAGCAGGACTGCAGGTTGAACTGGAGATAGAAATTTTCGCCATGGTAATTGGAGGGGAAGGTACTGATGGGCGTGAAGAAATTTCCCATGACATTGAAATATTAACAGAAACAGAGACCATTCTCCTGCCCGTGAGAGCAAATATCCTTTGTTGTCTTACCTCTCACCCTCCGCATGCACAACTAGCATCCACCTTGAGGACTGTCCACCTGTCAAGAGCTTTAAGCATCATTTCCAGTGCAAGCTGTAGAGTCCTTTTTGGAAACACCAGTTGGGTATTTTCCAAAGCATAACAAATGAAGAATTTAGGATTCTGGCCCAAAAAGCCACTTAGATAAAGTAACAAGGTTTTGAAAAGCAATGAAAGGAAAAATAGTATGACCAGAAAGATGCGGCTTTTAAGTAATAAACATAAAGTGTAAGAACTCTTTCCCACCCCTCACTGATAAGAGATTTTTTACAACAGTTTTGAATGTATGGAAGCACCTGATGGTACAGCCTCACATACTAAAGCAGATAAATGAGACAATACCTATGTCAGCAAATACAGGAGCACAGAACTGCATGAGTGCTGCCTGAAATGAGCCCAGTGGGTGTTCAATAGACTTTCAGTTGTTTGAGGACAGAGGTAGAGTAAAAAAAGTAACGAAGTCAAGAACTATTATTTCTCTTTCCCTTGTGCTCCAGACCTCTCCTGAGAGGAGAGGTCTCCTTGAAGGCTTTAAAACAAACAGCAAGGTAAGATGCACCCAAACAATCATCATGACAGAAACTCTTGGTCTTCGTAAGGGCCACCCTTACCAAAGAAAGGAAGAATTCAGGATTCTTTGAGGCTGACCAGAGTACTAGGGTAATGGCAACTGCACTGAGGGTTTATATGCTCTGGAAGTTACACTGAAACTCTGCAAATTTACTTTGTTGTGATGCGAAGATGTCTTCTTTGTCCATTACTGTGGAACTGAGCTAGACAGCATTGGTGGTACAGCCACAAAAACAGTTTCTGCTCCACTCCCACTCACCCAGTCCTGTCACACACTTACAGACCTCCAAAACAAGCACCCTTCCCCACTATTTTACTTGGCCTTTGATCTCTGAGCTGAGGTCAGTAGTTCAGATTCAACTTGTTTCACAGCCTCATTTCCAGAATTCCTTCCAGCCTCCACCCATATTCTTTCAGTTATATAAACATACAAAAATTTACAGAAATGTACAGATCCTTAACGTAACATCCCACCTGTGTTAGCCACTGACATCTATGAGTGCCGCCCACAAGGATACCCCCAGGGTGGGATGGCAGCAGCAGTCTGGACAGTTTCTACAAAGCCTAAGCCACGGTTCCGGATCACACTACCCCGAAAACTTTCTAGCTAACGTAAGTACTTGCATGCAGTGGTGCCAGCTGTGAATTAAATCACAGTAATTGTACCTCCTCTGGGCTTCTTAGCCACATCATCAACAAACCTCATGGTACTGACAGCAAAGCTGTCATGCACACACCACACATGACATGACATGAGAAAAGGGAAGCACTGGATGGCATCATTAACAAAAAGACTCCCTGCAAGAGATTTAAGGATTAATGCAGCTGTTCTGCTCAGTGGAGGTACTACTCACAGCAGAGCCTCCCTAGTCATGTCCTTCACTTAACTGCCTCCACATTAAACAACTCATTGAGCCTCCTGGCAGCAGGAGGCTAGATTTATTGCAGTTAAGCCCTAATAAATCAGCCTCTTTTTAACACTCCTCGCTTTCTAAAACCAAGTCTTACTGCTGACCCTTTGACACTGACAGCAAGCCTAATAAGGGACAGCAGCTTTACACAGACATAATGTGACATCCTCCAGCACACACAACCCTCTGCACACATTTCATACAGCGTATTTCTGTACCCTTACAGAATCAGACTGTATACAGAGAGTAGACGTCTTCCCTGCCAACAACTCAGCCTTATTGGGGAATTTCTCTTCAAACCACCGTCCAACATGTTTAACATTAGGCTGGTGTTTCATCTAACTCAGGTGCTCTACAGTACAACCAGCGGTGACGGTTCATAAACAGGATTTCTATGGATGTTTCTTCTCTGCTTTGCTTAGAGTTCCCATTTGTCTCATATCTTTAACACTGACATCAACTTTTTCTTTCAACTTTAACATCTGTAAGTCTGTCATGTTATCTAACAAGTCAGTAAAGAAATCCCAGCTGTATCTCATTTCCTTTCTAGAGGAAAGAAAGACCACATCGGTCAGTTCTCAAAAGAAACTTCAGAGACACGCACCTCTGACTGCTGCATCTGCTCTAAGACTGCCCAGAGTACTTCAAACATAGCTTTCTTTCCTGTTTAAGTATCTTCTTATCCTTTCAGTGTGGAATTTTACTCCCAGAGTAACAGACCGCTGTAGTCTAGGAAAAGCAGTGAATTTAATGTCTTCCATCTTAGCAGCTTACAAGCTGTAGTTCATCAGTGAAGGCAATTTAGACAAACCTTTCTCACTCTGCTTTGAAATGGAAGAGAACACTCAACCCAGTCAGTTCATATTTCAGCGAGACACCTCGCTGTCCCAACTCAGCCCACTACAGTCCTGCACTAAAATACAGCTGTTGGATCATCTCTGTACACCAGGTATACACCTTTTCCTGCCAAGTCCAAGCCCTGAAAATGCTGATCAGTGTCATCTCCCATTAAAATTTCCAGGTGGAGAGAGATTAACATCACAGTAACTTCTTTTGCCATAGCCAAATCTCCTTTCTGTTCTAAGAAAGTCTTTGTGTGAGTTGATTGATAATTCCTACTGAATTATCAATTATTATTAGTTACACCACACTACCCGAGCAACTGAACCAAACGTCTCTTTGACGTTTCCTCCATTCTTCCAATTCTTCCTCCAAAAAAACCCTGAACTCAAAACCATGTCCAGCTCCAACATGTCAAAAAATGGATTGGTGGAGTCACAGAACACCGACACTCCTAGGTTAAGTCTTGTACTCCATTAAATAGTCCTATTCAGTCACCCAGAATAGATGTAGTTAAGTCTTTCCTTGCAGAGGCACATAACTTTGTAAATTTCCATCATATTTCCCAGGTGATTATCACCAGAGCCAATACCATTCTCTCCTACGAGACCTCAAAACTTCCCAGCAATACTAGAACTGATCACAAATTAGCCATACCTCCTAGCAGAGGCCAAGAAGCAAAAATCACTGAAGCAGCATAACCTGCTCAAATTTAGTAATTTATTATATTTTCTTAGTTATTTCTCATATTTAAAGGATTTCACGAGGATTCTCTTAATATACTCAATATGAAATACGGCATAGGAAGCTGCTGGTGAATGCCTTCAGTATTTCCAAGTAGACTGCCAGCCTGAATCCCTGGTCATTTTTACTCCACGCAATTTATGGAATAAAAAAACAAACCCTTAATCCAGCTTAAGCCTATGCAAGAACACTTTTTCAAGTTATTGCCCTCCAACAGCAACGGCATAGACCAGTTCTACTGAAGGCAGTCTGACGTTATTACTGTGTTTCAATAACTGTACAAAAGTAGGGTTTTTTGTTTTTCTTTTACTTCTTCTCATGTTAACTTTCTCTCCTCTTTCACTACAGGTCAGAGCCCTGGAAGAATGATGTAAAAAATCGGCAATAGTGTGTTACCTGAATTTTAGTCTAATGTTATGGAAATATTCCCAATGTAGACTTTTTCGTTTATTTAATTAAAAAATAACACGAATAAAATTTTTTTCAGTCCCCTATTAATGGGAAGGGTAGTCTGAAAGTTGTCGCTGCTTCCGTCTGAAATGTGAACAGCGGAATGATTCTTACATTTCAGTCCCAATACTTCATAATCTGCACTTCAGAATAGTGCTGAGTGCATCCTGACAGGTTTATTTTGTTTTTAAAAGGTTTATTTTGTTTTTAGAAGCAATTACATTTCTACAGCCCATGCTGAAGCACCTGAAATTTTTGTTCCTACTTACGTAGTAGTGACTAAAAAAAACATCTTGGTGTCTTTAAGAGATACCTTATTCACACATCCCAGTGTAGTTCTGCTTTCTTTTCATGAATTTATTTCCAATGACTTGTTTTCCTGTGCTTCATCCTTTTTCACTATGAGACTGACAGATGGGGAATTTTCCTTGATAACACAGATGACTTGTTCACTCAACGCTTCACAGTGACTGAGAATCTCACAACTGGGGATTAAACAAGAGCTTTCACCAGCATGAAACATAAGTGTCAGTTTCAAACTCACCCATCCACAAGAGTTTGTGACATACATATTCCAATTATAATTTGACCCTGCATTTGCAAGTGATTTCCTGCTCAGGTTTGTAAATCCAGGGGATCTCACTAAAGGAACAGGTAGCTGAGGTATCCCAGTCTACCAGACCTCTGGGAGACCAGTTGCAGGTACAGACTGGTCACAAGACCAAAAAAACGGAGGGAAGGTTCAAGGGGAAGCCCATATTAGGACCTATGGAGGGGACTTCCCAGCACCTCAAACACCTTTTCTTCTGGGATTCTTCCTGAATCCCAGTGACAGCAAACAGAGATTAAGGTGAAGGAATTCCACCTCCTCCAACTTACCTCAAAGGAGTCACCTGTCACCATCATGACAAGATTAGAGTGCATCCCACATCACTCTTCTGTACCATGATGTACATGCTTCTCATCACCTGTGGCCAGGACTCCTCTCCCAGGGCTCCCAGAGGATCATCAAACAGCAGCTCATTGCTGAGGTTCCCAAATATTTATCTCCCTGGCATAAAGGTTAAAGACAGAGCACATCACACAGAGTCAGCCTCCCCCTTCTGGTACCTCTCTCCTCAGTCATCACTGCTGAAGGTGCACTGTAGTGTCACAAGCCACCCTCCATTTGTAACACTTCTCATCCTTTGTTTTCCTGCTGCACCAGCCTTTTTCAGCAGCATTTGACAAGGATACAAGACTTCAAATATTATAACCAACAGAGTTCATCATCCTACTGTTGCACAGAGCTTCCTCTCCCTCTCTCTTAAAGGTCTCCTTTAAAAGTAAAGGAAGAGAACAGCCAGGATGGAGATGTTTGAATGTTTGATCTCATGTTTCACGTAGACCTACATAAATATAAAATTATAGAGGCTCTCAGAAACACCTGGCAGAGCTGTATGAAGATTGCTATTCCCACAGAGTCTGAGACCTCTCTCATGGAACTGGAGTAGGAAGCTGTGCTCTAAATTTAAATTACCTGCTCCGAAGAAACAAGTGAACCATCAGCCCCCATCAGAGTTACTTACTAACAGCAGCTATTCTCTGAGCACCTGAAGTGCTGCTAAAAGATTAACTCACAGAGCTGTTTACCTTATGTTCTGTTACTAGCAATTGTACATAAGTCAAAGACAGTAGAGTCAGCAACAACTGGGATGCAATTAGAAATTCAGATGAAGTTCAAGTTAAAAAGAAGTCCTGCTCTGAATACCTGAGTCAGACCTGCAAGTTAAACAGTATTATTATTTTCAGTGAAGCATCCAGAACCAGCTCCCACCACATTAACAAAACCCATTATTACTGGGGGAAAAAATAATAATTATAATATATGCTAAAAACTAGTAACTGACCAACAGCAGCAGAGACCTGCCCACTTTACTCTGCCCCCCATTATGAAAATAAATTATTTTATCTGATACAGGACAAGTACAACATTGCAACAATTCTGTGCAATTTCTAATAATTGGGAGCAAGAACAATGCAAATAACCCACACTTCTCATCCTCCATCTGCCAGCTCTGTAGAAGAGCACAATACTTGATGGCAGCCCTTTCATTTGCTCCCACAGATTTTATTCTGTGGAAAAAAATAAATCCTTTGAGAATTGATAAAACATGGTGAAGCAGTTGAGGCTTTACTATAAAAATATCAGGACAGAACTCCATAAACAAAGTTGCCTTATAAAGCATATATAACCATGTCTTGAACAGAGCACAGTTTTCTCCCCGTTCCACTAAAAAGTGAGTGGCTGCAGACCAGGTTGTCACACCCCTGAAGTCTCAGAGCCTTGCACACAGCTTTTAAGCACTTCCACAAGTCACCAGCAGGTGTCAAAACAGCACAAAATCTTGCCAGATGCCTTCCAGGGATGGGGCATGGTCTCGCTGTCAGTCCAGGTGCTGACTCACCGCATCCAGTAACACACTGCCAGTGAGCTGATCTCTTCTGCAGAAGAAATCAACTCCAATTCTAACTGGCATTCTGCAAGAGGAAAGGCATGCACCTGTCACAGCCACCCCAGAAGTGGTTTGAACACATACGGATACAGCAGAACACAGAGAGTTCATCTCACTAGGCAGAGACAACCTTTCTGTGTTGGCATTGTCCCCAGAGGGGACAGACTTCATCCCAGTCACTGGACATCAGAGATGTTCAGCCACAAGAAAGTTCCATGGCCAGCACTGAGGTTACATAGCCCCATCCAGGTGTTCTGGGTCTCAGGTAGCAAGTGCTAAACCACTGCAAGAATCATCTTTTCTTTCTTCTTCCTCTTCCTCTTCTTCTCCTCAAAACGGTCAGTAGCATCAGCAAAAAACATGACCTCATCCTTGGCCTCAATCTCCCTCTTCAGATGCTGGAGCCCTGCCATGTTAAATCCCAGCACATCCTGCAGAGACAGACAAGAAACGCGCTGCTCAGCATATCTCAAGCTTGTTAGGGGGCAGAGGGTCCTGCTGCCTGGAACAGGTGACACTCTGGCCACCCTTGACTGAGAGCTGATTAAAGCAAGACAATCCCCCAGATTTAAATGAGGCAGCATTATTTACATCTAAATTTCAACTGAACAGGAGAACAATCAGACCTGCACTCTGTTCCCCACATTTCTTTGTTAATAAGAGCTATAAGCCACTATTCTCTGGAAAACAAGTTGTTGACAATCATCTGAAGTTGTCTTTGGAAAGACACCATCAGTCTGTATTCGAGATTAGTAGCCCACAGAAAGCCAAAGAGAAGTTAAGAATTCATTTACCTCTAACTAGAGAGTCAAAGCCCAAATACATACATCAAAGAAAACCAAGAGTAAGTGAAGGGGAGGGAAAAGGGAGAAGGAGAGAGCACACACATCACTGGATATTCTCACATCAGTTAGAACATAAAGAAAATCCAGCAAATTTGCACATGAAGAATATCAAATGGGCTCAACACCTCTAACCAGCTTTCCCACCAGATACCACACGCTCCCAGCCATCGGCCAATCCTTTTATTCCAGATCCTGGAAAAGGAGAGGCTGCAACACTCACCCGGGCCTCACTGACTCTGGAGATGGTGGTTTTCTTCAGGTTTTCTATCACTGTCACCAGCATCTGGTTGGTTGTTATCTGACCAAAATGGATCCTGGGAACAAAGCAGGCAGAGAGCTCTGATGTACAGATGCAGCGTTGGTCTTAAAAAGATCATTTAGGCCCCCTCCCAAACCTCTATATATTTTCTGGATATAGTATTTTTTTTATTATTGTTATTATTTATGCTTCCCTAGACCATATTTGTGTAATAGTCATGAACAGATTTATCTGGAAGCTGCTTTCTGAAGCTTCTTTTCAACATATGAATGGTTCAAGGGAAAGGTCTCTGGGGCACCACCTGAGGACATGGGTGCATGTGGACAACGACTCTGTGCCAGCAGCTGGTGGGTGCCATTTCAACCTTGATGTAGACTCTTCCATACCCCTGAGGCAGGATCAGCAACCCACATCAACGCGGGCACATCAGCACTCTGCATTCATAGGCATCTGAATCCATAGGCAGGGATGCCACCCACTAGACCAGGTTGGCCAAGGCCCCATCCAGCCTGGCCTTGAACACCTCCAGGGATGGGGCAGCCACAACCCTCTCTGGGCAGCCTGTGCCAGTGTCTCACTACACTTACAGTGAAGAATCTCCTAATGTCTAGCCTAAATCTATCCTCTTTAGTTTAAGACCATTCCCTCTTGTCCTATCATTATCTACCCAAGTAGAGAGTCCTTCTCTGTCTCTTTTGTAAGGCCCCTTTACGTATTGAAAGGTCACAATGAGGCCTTCCTGGAGCCTTCTCTTGTCAGGCTGAGCATCCCCAGCTCTCTCAGCCTTTCTTTGCAGGAGAGGTGCTCCAGGAAGGGCGTATTTCTGTGCTGGCTCACAGCACAGGAGCAAGGAGCACCTCTCTGTTCACATGAACTGGCACAAGAGGAGCCCAAAGGACCATGACCAAAGCCTTGTTAGGGCTTCCTGGGGTCCAGATGTGGACAGCAAAGCTGGACTAAGACCAGCAGACCTGTCTGGGTGGATGCAAGACTCACTTGAGCAGGAAGAGGAGAGCACGGCACAGGAGTTCAACTTCTGCACCCAAGCGAATGTATTCATTGAAGAGCCTGAGCAGGTCAGGGACGTAGGAGAAGGGCAGCACCAGGAGAGACTCCTCCAGCTCACTGAGGAGGAAGCAAAGGGATGGAAAGAGTAGTCTCAGCCACTGCCCTGCTACAGATGAGCAAGAAACACTTCCATATGGGAAGGTTCTGGCACAAGAGCTGTACAAAGTGTTCCCCACTGCTGGTCCATGCCTGCCCACAGAGCACAGTGCATCTGCACAGACCAGATCCAGGGCTAGCAGACACCTTCTGGCATAGAGCAGGCACGCAGCCTTCCCTCCTCAGCATCCCCAGGCTGCTCTTCACGTACACGTGCATCTCCAGGCAGCCAACCCGCATGCACAAGCTTCATCCAACA